TAATATTTTAATAGTATATATGAGTCAATAATAATTAATTTATATTGATTTAATAAGACCAATAATTCGTAGGTTCCGAAAATGTAATGTAAACAGTACATGCACAGTCTTTCATGCTTGTTAAGAGGTGAGATGCGGAGTGATTGTAAGAGATTCGGCTGTAAGAGTGACGATAGTTTTCTCATGCAGACTACAAAATTGTCGTTCTTCCTACCTGATTGAATTACTTAGCTCTCGCAGTGTACTCCAGTACATGAACTCAATTTTCACTAGACGGGACATCGGTAAGGTGGATGCGTAGAGAGTTATAAACGCACTAACAACAAATAGGAAAAATTGTTTGAAATTTGGATTCATTATTGAGAACTATAAGTTTTTGTTATCACTTAGGTCTGATATTTCAATAACCTGCCCTTACAGGCAAGGTAATGTGGTCGCCCACAGTATTACACGGGTAGTCCCCTCTCAACTTAATTTTTATGTTTATGAGAGGTTAACAATCGATATTGTGTATATTTAAAAAAAAAATCAATTTATTAATTTGTTAACAGTTTTTTGATTAAATTTCAACGAATTTATTACGATTTTGAGTGAAAATAGTATTTTGTAATGAATAAATTATTTTAATTGTGATAATTACAATAAATTAAGATTATGACATAATTTTTTTTTGTAAACATTCTTTTTTTACCTTTGTTTCACGTCTAGCCTTCTCCTACATTATATATTTCACCATCTATAATTTAATACGAAATATTTATAGAATTAAATTATGTAAAACAAGAGAGATTAGATAATTACGTAATTTTAAATTTTAAATTATATAAAAAATGAGTAAAGTTTGAGAGACTTAGAATACAAACAAAACTCATGTTTTTTACCTACAAACAAAAAATCAATCTCCATTATTCAACCCCCAAAAAAAAAAAAAAAAAAAAGAAAAAAGAAATTCATCTTCTGCCTTCTACTTAAAATACAGAAACCAAAAGCTTTTCCCATTCCTTTTAAGGTTTACTACTAAATTTGGATCAAAGCTTCGAACATACCCAATAAGTCAACAGCTATACATATACCATAAAACAGAATACCCAAAAATAAGAAGGAGAAGACAAGAATAACCCATGGATTATTTTCTTTCCTTGTACAAACATAAAGAGAATGAGAATAGATTCAGAACCCATGTATCTATACTTTACAACCAGTGATTAATCAAATATATAATTATTCATAATATAAATATTTCGAGACTGTATCATGTATTATATATATAACATACTTATGCTGTGCTCTCAATGTATTAATTATTTTGGGGCATTCGTGTTTTAGTATTTAGTGTTTAATATGATTGCAAATCAGCTGATTAATGGTGGGTTTTAGGATGAATTAAGGGCGTGTTTGGGAGATTGAAGAAAAGAGAGGAGCTCTCCCCGATACCTATCCTCAATAGGAAAAAAACGACTGCGTTTTGCCACGTCGGAGTATTCGCACCGGTATGATTTTGCCACGTGTAAACCACAATAAATGAGCCCCACCCACCCACCTGGTCCACGTTCATTTTCCCGTTAATAAAAACTTCTCCTTTACTCCTCCCCCATTTCTCTCTCTCTCTCTCTCGAAATTCATGCCTCAGACAGACTACCACGACTGACCAGTTTCCTAAGCCCCTCTCCTCCCTACCTCTCTCCGCCGTCTTCCGGTGAACTTCTGCCGTGTTTCAGCTGAGTCTTGACTGGTGTCGGGTGACCCCTTTAAGGCTCCGGTGGAGACTGCTAAGTGCTTGCTTATCAAATGCTCTGCTTGTAGCTTCTCATAGTTCTCAGATCGAGACCTTCTCTCAAGTCTTTTCTTCGTGTTACCTCTTTCTAGTTTTGGAAGCTTTTTTTGCTGCTCTTTGAAAAACAACGTTGCTTTTTAAGAGTTTCTCCGGCTTGTTTCAGAGATATACCTTCTAATTAAAGAAAAAAAATCTAATCACTTTCATATAGGTTTCTTTTGATGGGTGGGGTGGGTTTGGTCGATGTTGGAAGGTCTGTACACTCTCTCATTTGGTAATGCAACTGGGTTTTAGTGTTTTCGTTTGAAAGTATCCGCCCTGGCTCTCGTCACGGCTTCAAATCTAGCCGTTACTCAATTTTCCCTTGTTTTATTTTCTGGGAATTCCGTCTGCAGTTTCATTTTTGCTTGTTTTTAAGCTGAAAGTTGGCCATTTTGATTTCTGTTTTCTTCTGGGTCTGTTGCATTTTTCCTTTGAAGTAACGATGGGTTTGTAAATTTGTCTCATCTTGGACCTCTGTTTGAGAAACTGGAAAATGCTGGTAATGTTGAGCATGAGAAACCTGCTTACTTTACTGGGGCTGCTGTTATTAGCTCCACTTCTGGTGAGATCTTTGAACCCGTCTTTAAACGACGACGTTCTGGGCCTAATCGTGTTCAAGGCAGACATTCAAGATCCAAAGCAACAGCTCGCATCTTGGAACGAAGACGACGATAGTCCTTGTGGCTGGTACGGTATCAAATGCAACCCGAGATCCAACCGCGTCACGGAGCTCACTCTCGACGGATTGTCTCTCTCGGGTCGGATCGGCCGTGGCCTCTTGCAGCTCCAGTTCCTTCGTAAGCTCTCTCTTTCTAAGAACAACCTTACTGGTAATGTGAGCCCGATACTGCTCAGGCTTGAAAACCTTAGAATCATCGACTTGAGCGAGAATGGTCTTTCGGGCCCCATCCCTGAAGATTTCTTTCAACAATGTGGGTCCTTAAGAGCAATTTCTTTGGCAAACAACAAGTTTTCTGGCAAGATTCCTGGTAGTTTGACCTCATGTTCGTCTCTTGCTATTTTTAATGTATCTTCCAATCAGTTTTCGGGTTCTCTTCCATCTGGGATTTGGTCTTTGAATATTCTTAGATCTCTTGACTTGTCTAGTAATTTGTTAGAAGGAGAGATTCCTAAAGGGATTGATAGTATGAATAATTTGCGCGTGATTAACTTGAGTAAGAACAGATTATCTGGGTCTGTTCCTGCTGGAATTGGAAGCTGTTTGTTGTTAAAATATATTGATCTTAGCGATAATGCGCTATCTGGGTTCCTACCAGAGTCAATGCAGAAGCTTAGTTCGTGTAATCATCTGAACTTGCGGAAGAACTCGCTTGAAGGTGAGGTCCCTAACTGGCTTGGAGAACTGAGGAACCTGGAGAATTTGGATCTTTCTTCAAATAAGTTTTCCGGTCTGGTTCCCCATTCTATTGGTAACCTTCAGTCACTGAAGATGATGAATTTTTCTGCAAATGGTGTTACTGGAAACTTGCCTGAATCTTTGGTCAATTGCACCAACCTTTTGGCCTTAGATTTTAGCCAAAATTCCATGACTGGTGATCTTCCGGGATGGCTTTTTCAATCGAATTTGCAACATGTTTCACTTTCCAGGACTAACACTGGAATAATGGATAGTCCCTTTTCTTCGTCAGTTGGGAATTCCATTCAGAAGCTTCAGGTCTTGGATTTATCACACAATTCATTATCTGGTGAGCTTAGAATTGGTATCAGAGTTTTGGGTGACTTGCAGGTCTTGAATCTGTCTAGGAACTCTCTTGTTGGTAATATTCCAGCTTCTATTGGAGAGTTCAAGGACTTGACTGTTCTTGATTTGAGTTGCAATAAGCTCAACGGAAGCATTCCTCTTGAAATTGGAGGATCTATTTCTTTGAAAGAATTGAGGCTGGAGGGCAACTTCCTAGATGGGAAAATTCCTACTTCAATTGGAAACTGTTCTTCACTTCAAGCTTTGTAAGTTTCCTAACTTTTCTTGCTCTATTTTGTTTTGAATTAAGCTTCTTTTGCTTCTATCTTATAGTGTTCAAATTAATCTGTCCTATTCACATTATGGTCTTATTATTTTGAAGGATTAAAGCCTTTTTCATCTCTCTTTTGATGAGGTAATGTTAGAGTCATTGAATTTTGAGCCTTTTAGACCATAGGGTTTGCAAACTAAAAACTGAAGCTTCAAAATTTTTACATCCTTCAAAATTTGTAGTATATTTAATTAAATTATAGGAAAAAATCTCATTTTGTTGTTCAGTTTATGCTTCAACATTCTGCTGTCATTTTCATTCTAAATCAAGTATTGCTGAAGGCTAGTATTGTTCTTTCATCATTCTGATAGTTCCTCTTTCCTGTTTGACTCTCTTCTTATGGTTGAATTTAGGATCCTGGCACAGAACAAGCTGGATGGCCCTGTACCTGTAGAGATGGCAAAACTAACAAACCTACAAGATGTAGACTTGTCATTTAACAACCTCACTGGAACGCTACCCAAGCAGTTAGCCAATCTTGCACACCTCTACAACTTCAACATATCCCACAACCATTTGCAAGGTGAACTACCTGCTGGGTTTTTTAACACCATTTCACCCTATTCTGTCTCTGGTAATCCATCCCTATGTGGTTCGGCTGCCAATAAGTCTTGTCCAGCAGTTCTTCCTAAGCCCATCGTCCTCAATCCCAACTCAACTTCAGAAGCAAGTTCTGGGGTAATAGCTCCCAATTTGAGTCACAAAAGAATAATCCTCAGCATATCTTCCCTCATTGCTATAGGTGCAGCTGCTGTCATTGTTATTGGGGTGATTGCAATCACTGTCCTCAATCTTCGTGTTCGGGCATCAGCATCTCGATCCGCTGCAGCTCTTGCCTTATCTGCTGGGGATGACTTCAGCCGATCCCCAACTACAGATGCCAACTCTGGAAAACTTGTTATGTTTTCTGGTGAACCCGACTTCAGCACAGGAGCACATGCTTTGCTCAACAAGGATTGTGAGCTTGGACGTGGTGGCTTCGGAGCAGTTTATCGGACGGTTCTTCGAGATGGGCAACCAGTTGCTATCAAGAAGCTCACAGTCTCAAGTCTTGTCAAGTCCCAAGAAGATTTTGAAAGGGAAGTGAAGAAACTAGGAAAAGTCAGGCACCCTAATCTTGTGGCGCTCGAAGGATATTACTGGACTCCATCATTGCAGCTTCTAATTTCTGAGTTTGTTTCTGGTGGAAGTTTGTATAAGCATCTACACGAAGGCTCAGGGGCAAACTTCCTTTCATGGAATGAAAGATTCAATATAATTCTTGGGACAGCAAGAAGCCTAGCTCATTTGCACCAGTCAAACATCATTCACTACAACATAAAATCGAGCAACGTTTTGATTGACAGTTCAGGGGAGCCAAAAGTGGGAGATTATGGCCTAGCAAGGTTGTTGCCAATGCTGGACAGATATGTTTTAAGCAGCAAGATCCAGAGTGCACTTGGCTACATGGCACCTGAGTTTGCCTGCAGAACAATAAAGATAACTGAGAAATGTGATGTTTACGGGTTTGGTGTGTTAGTTCTTGAGGTTGTTACTGGAAAGAGGCCTGTTGAATACATGGAAGATGATGTCGTGGTGCTTTGTGACATGGTTAGAGGAGCACTGGAAGAAGGTAAAGTGGAGGAATGTGTGGATGGTAGGCTACAGGGGAAGTTCCCAGTTGAGGAGGCAGTTCCAGTGATGAAACTTGGTTTGATCTGCACTTCCCAAGTACCATCAAATCGGCCAGACATGGGAGAAGTAGTTAAAATATTGGAGCTAATTAGATGCCCTTTAGACAGCCCAGAGGAGCTGGTATAAACTTAACTAATATATTGAACAACTGAGAGAGAGTATTTACAATGAATTGTCCGGCGAAGAGGAATCCGGTTTGTTCATTTTAGTAGAGAAGAAGATTTGATTGTTGGAAAAAGATTTCCCCTTGTTTTGTTGTATTGTTTATCCACTTTTCAGTTTTAAGTTGTAGCTTCTTCTCTGTCATAGCTAAGATACCGGATTCCTTTTCACCGGGTTCCAATTTGGGACCCTTTTGGATATTATTACCCAATTACCAAGCTTATCTCTTGATGCATTTCTCGCTTGTTTTATTCTGATTATGAGCTAACTGCAGCACTAACTTGTGACCGAGCAAAAACTTAATTAGCAGAGACAGCACCTCCTTAGCAGTAGCCCATGGCATGTGAGCTTGGAAAGTTCTTATCTTCAGCTTATTACTTGTGTAATTCCAACTGTTGATCTAGTTTCCTATTTGGTTGATGCTTTTCGCCAACAAGGTTTCCCATTTTTAACTAGAAGACATAACAACAGATCAAAATACCCAACAAAACCCTACATCTGAAATTTCCCCTTGGAAGAGAGTGAAACTAAACAAGGCTTCCGTTTTACTTCGAATCAAGTGTTCAAAGTTGAACTTCCAGTAGTGGTTCATTTCAATCAAAAAAGCTTAAAGTAATGTTTTTTACATTCCAACAAAAGCAACAGTGGAGGTAATAAAAAATTGCACATTTGCAAGTCAAAAGTTGAGCTAAGAGGCAGAAGATTAGTAAAATCAAGATTCTTCGGCATCCACTTGGAAAGAAGAAATCTTAAAGTGCTTCTCTCAATAAAAAAGAAAAGAAAAGAAATCCAAAGTGCTGAATAGAAAAATACAGAAGGTCATAGAAAACATAATGGGAAATTTGAGATTAAAGAAAGAAACAGGTTTTGAATTAAAAGATGATGATGGTGTAGCCATGGACATAAAATATTATACTATAATGCTGTCGGAATTTAGAAAAAAAAAAAAAACCTGTTAATTGTTTTAGACCCATGCGTGGAGGGGTTTTTAGTTTAATCCTCACTTTTGATTAAAGTTGGATTCTTGGTCAGGCCCTTCTTCAATGGCGCTGTTCCCAATGATATTTTTTAAACCCTAATCACAATTTTTTAATCTTTCATCTTTAATACCACATGGGTTTTGTTATCTCTTCATTGCTTCTTTATAATGTTCATTGTCTTCAACCTTCTACCTTTAGTGCTCATGAAACACCTTTAAACAACTACCCTAATGCCTATGAAGATAAAATAGAGAAAAAAGAACTGATAAATTCAAACAAAATGAAACTAATCACTGGAAAAAAGAACTGGTTTTAACATTATTTTATATTCTAATTCAAAATTATAGCAGAATGATTCTACATATATGTTATTATAAATTTCTACATTTGATTAACATGAAATGACCCTCTTTCAAATCTGTTTACAGAATTATTTGGAGGAAGAGAAAAATATAAAAAATTGATAGCCATGTGGTTGGATTACTTGAGCATGGGTTGTTGTCTTTATTGCAGTTAGCAATACATTGTTTATATGGTGTTGGGCCCAAGAGAAAAGCTAAATAGAGAATTAGAATTGTCATTATCAACAAGCAGATCACATGGGTCCTTAAATAATCCTCTCTTCTGTTAAAGATGGGAGAATATATATATATATATATATATATATATAGAATACTACAAATTCATGTTCATCATTACTCCCACTGACAGGAATAACATACCTACTCCTCTGTACTCATACCACTTTTCAAAGTGTAAAGACAATGCTATTGGTTCACTCCAATTTCTTGGATTTTAACCTCACAACTCAATTTTCATGGCTAAAGTAACCGATGGAAATTTTGAAAAAAATATGTAAAAGCCTGCTCCCACTAATGGGAAAAATAAAGTGTATGTTTGGGAGAAAGCATCATTATATTTAGGAGGATATTAATTACAAAAAGAAATCTGCCTTCTATACAAGTTTCATTTATTATTATTATTCTATCTTTTTTTTTTTTTCTTTTCTCTCTTCTTTTAGGTATTCCATGCTTTACTGAGATGCAAAAATGATACCTTTCCACTTTTGTTTATGTGGGGAGTTGAGGTTGTACAATTGTTTAGATTGATGAGTGGAGCTAAAAAGAAAGATCCCCTCAAAAGGAAGAAAAAATAATTGAATTGTGTTCTTATCTTTTTTCAGCTTTCAATTTTATGTGTTGTTATTGTCCAAGGGAAATTTGAGAAATATACATTTGGAAAATAGCAACCAAGTTCAAAGAAATCCATCTTAAAAAGCATGTGAGGGAGATTGAAAATTGCTTTCATAAGAACACCATTAACTTTCTGCAACTTTTCTTTTCAATGTGTCAAATGTTTATTCATGACCCAAGGGAAAGATTTGGAAAAGGATAAAAGCTAATATCAGCGAAATTATATTGCCACTTCTCATTACTATGAGACCCAGAAAAAAACTAACCTTTTATATTTGACAACAGCCAAATAGTTTCTTTTACACAAAAAAATTTTTTTCATTGATCCCAAAAAGTAAGAACTATGAGATGATGAAGATTTAATTTCTAATCATCATCCTTCCCAGCTGTTTTTACCTAATTTTCTTGACCTACAATTCTTACCTTTTATCTCAAAAAAATTTCCTTTTTCTTCACCTTACAGTGCAAGGCAGTAAAAGAGAATATATATCTTAATCCTACCCTAATTACTCATTTTCCTCAATTCATTGTCTATGTTTCATCCCAATCACCATCCCAATCTTGTTCCCAACCTTCTGCTGTTTCTACATTGTCAGCCGTTACAGAATCTGGCTGTGCCATTTCAAGCTCCTTATAGGGGATTCCATCAACCTGCTTTCCCATTTTCATCGTCTTGCAGCAGGCCCATGTCAAGCCAATAATCAGAGGAGCTGTGAGCAACAGATAGACTCCATTGACTGGGGTGGCAAAAGAAGGAAAATGCTGAAAAATGTTACCATTTCGTGTAGGAGACTGCATGCTAATTGTACATTCACCATTTCCAGCATTTAATACAATGGAATAACCACCTCCATTATTAGCTGAGATATTGACCTGAAACCGGAAAAATAATTTACTTCGTCACATACTGAGCATCTAAGCCATAGAAGAAAAACTTCAAATGGCTGGCTTAACCATTGTTTAGCCGCCTCAATTGTTTCCATTGACAAGTGAACATTTCACTTCTCATTGGAGCAGCTTTGAATAGAAAACAATAGCGTTTTTGAACCATACCTTCTTTGTCTGGTATCCTGATATTTCAATTTCATCATAAGTATTCTCAAGAGTTGATAATGTGACATTCACTTTCAAAGTACTTCCTCCACCATTCTTGACAATGAGAAACAAGTCTCCAGAAGCTGAATAAGAAAAGGGATTGTTTTACTTAGTTTTCCATTTTATGAAACAATGAACTAGGCCAAAATTACCATGTAAGACAGTACAGAAACCAGATAAGAACTAGTTTAACATCTTCGCGATATTTCATTCTCAAGGTAGAAAGAGAAATGAATTGAGGAACTTGTTGTATAAGCTTTCATTGCATACAAACTCAAAGCATATTATGCATCATGACATGTGAAAACAAAAGAGGAAGCGTAAGATTTATATTGCCTATATCTTCCAAGTCCTTTCATTCCCCATCCAATTCTATATGGTGCATTCCATTACAAGGTTAATTTACTAGGTAGAGTCATTTCCTACATAGAAAATAATGAGCACACATCAAAGTATGGTTTTAAATTTAGAATCTAACTCACACATAAGACAGCTTACAACATATCTTTCATCTGCAGCCTGTATGTTTTGTGTTGCAACCCATTTTGCAACATTATGGGCCTGCTCAGTAGTATAACTCTGGGAAAATGCAGTTTATAAAAAGACAATCAGGAATATGGGCCTGCATTTAATATAGTTTAAGAACCTCATCAGAAGGGTTCAACCCCCTACTAGTTTAGAAACTATTCTTATTTTCAGATCCAAAGGAGATTCCTACTTGACGAAGTAGTTGTTTCATGTTTATCCAAAAGTTGTAAATATAATCAAAATGGAAATTCATCTCTATTGATCAATAAGTCATTCCGTCAGGAAATTGACATATGAAATCAAAAGGTTCTCAGAACTAAAACTGCAATGCAGTCAGAAGCATTTTTTAAGGAAACAGAACAATACTCATATGATTTTGGCAAGCAAGAGCCTCCAAACCGAACTGAATATGAAGTCAAGTCTCTAAGTTTCGAGAAGGAAAAAATTAACAAAGTAACCGAGGGAACTGGAAAACAAACACCAAATGGGTGGGGCTAGCACTGAAGATGGATAAATAATCATCTAGGTTGATACCAGTAGCATATTAAAGGAAAACTAAGGACGAAAATAATAAAAAATGGAGGAAGTCCTTCAAGATGAAAGTAAGAAGAACATCAAAGTAGAAATAAAAAAGCTTCCTATCCTAACTCAGATATGCTAATAATATTTTGATTGAAATAGAAAAACCAAAGCTGGAGGACTTTGAAGTGATTATTAAGGTAGCATTTGCCAATCTTTTGTGATAAACCAACAAGTTTACAGCTGAAATTTAACACCATCAGATATTCTAAACAAGTATTTTATCAAAGGAGTAAGAAAATTAGGAAACAGATAACTAATGATGCCCTCAATAAATATAGTCTAACTTCATACAAACAGAACTATGAATTTGGGTAAGCAGACCCAGTGCACATACAGACTCTAGATGACTTCTTAGGAGGAAATAGGGGATCTGCCCGGAGCAGAAGTTGATCCAATCATTTGGGTCCGAAACAAAAGAATGCACCCTATCAAATCATTCACAAGACCTTGGCTTCTTCATAAGGTCCACTCGGTATGATTAAATTGGATTTCCAACTTTGATGGACAACTCATTTTTGAAAAACTTTATATAGTTTTATCATTAATGGCAGAATTTCCTGCTGAGATCCAAGTCCTGTGGGAATGAGGGCTGCAATCAACAATTCAAAAGCACAACCAAAGACTAGGTATTTTCTAATATGGGGCAAGGACGAGGAAGATAGAAAATCATCCTTAAGGCACACAATCTCATCATTCATTATGCTCAGGATTCATGACAAGATAAATTAATTCTTGAAAAATTGATCTTCTTCTGAAGTTGTATTGCACAAAATGGTATTTCAAACACGACAAAACACCCATGCTTGATATATAATTCCAGAGCTTCATCATTGAGATAAACCTTGAAATGCTGAAAGAATATAACTCCCCCTTCCTCATATTCTTCGTTCTATGAAAGTTAACAGTTAACCTGAGTGATACTAGACATTAACTTAAGTTGGATGGACCTAGCAAAAAAAAAACATTCATAGTGGTTAACTTTCTTAGTTGGAATAGTCACAACGAGATAATACCCAACCTAACCTAAGGCTGGACAACTAATCAGAGTACTTCATTTAAAGCTTATTTAAAGCGTTACTGGAATCTTAACATCTTTTCTTCCTATAGTTCTAGGCATTTATTTTAAAACTCTTCCCTAGGTACATCAAATCTTCCTAGTCTCAACTGAAAAATGCATCATCCTCTCACCAAGATCTTCACTTAGGACCATTGACGAAAAATGTTCATCTCAATTATTCCTTCTCAGAAGTCAGAATAGTAGCTGCAAACAGACATATATATACATACATACATACATACATATATATATAATACACATAAGCACTTAAGAAAAAAGGTGAAACCTTGTTACTCTATTTGGAGTAGCAAATAAGCAACAAAAAGAAACCCTCAAAAGTCAACAGGACAGCAGCCCTCAGAGCTACTACTCATTTGGCCTCAACTCTCCTTCTATTCCCAATCAATTTCTACGCTTGAAGTATTTCATATACGTAATTATCCTATGACCAGCAGTTATACACATCAACATCTATATAATGATTAACTGTAGAAATTAGCTAATAAGCAGAACTGAAAATCATTCCAAACTAAACAAAAGGATAGCAGGAAAGCAATACGACAATTAAGCAGCAAATAGAATACCGCCAGGTGATGAACCAAGGCAAGCAGTAATATTTCCAAGATCATGGCAGGGATTCAAGCAATCCTGGCTAGTGAAGCCATCACCACCAGTTGGCTCAGGAGCAGGAGACGTCTCAGCCGTCTGATCATCCTTCTGGTTGACTGGTTTCTCATTTGTCAACCGAGATACCTATAAGACACATTAAAAAACAACCACCCCAACTATAACTTCTTTATATACAACACAAAACAATCAACGAAAGCCATGAAAGAAAAATGTTAGCTTTAGAAGAAAAGAAGATTTGATAATAGCATACCAGCGAAAGAGGTTTCTGATTCTTGGCTCCTAATTTTCGGATACTGTTTAGGAAAGACGCATTGGATCCATGGGTTATTATCAGAAATAATAAATAAGTTAAGAGAATTCTCTTTTGATTTTGATGCATCGTTATTAACTAAAAACAAACTGGGTCCTTAGGTTTTCAGCAGATACACAGTAAATAAGATGGCGATTATAAGGTAGACGAAGACCTATTAAACACGAAGCCATGGAGTTCGTCAAAAGTCAACGCAGATACCCAATTGTCTTCTTTTTCATCTTCTTGTTCCACATTCCTTAGCAGTTTCGTCGTAAAATCCGCAGTTAATCAGAGTTCTTGTCACTATAACAGTTCCATGTTTCCTTTTCTGAAGATTGGCCGTCAATCAATTTCTTTTTTAAAAAAATATTAAATTTGTTTCTGTAAAAATATTTAATTTCATTTTCTTCTACAATTTTAATCTTTATATTTTTTTAAAAAAATTATTTTAAACTCGTACCATTAATGAAGATATTGTCTGATAATGAATTGAACAAATTTCTTTTTTTCTGATTTGGGCAAATTTTGATATTACATATCGATATTAGTAATAAAAAATTAAATTAAATTATTTATAAAAATATAGAAAATAAAATTATAAAAAAAATATAATATTTGGAACCAGCATAAATATTTTAAAATAATACGGGAGGAATTTAATTTTTTAGTGCAAAAAAAAATCTCATTGTGTTACGTGGCAGTTTTCTTACGTGGCAAGATTCCAGATTACGATTCCCAAGTGGGGCCCGCATTTTAATCTTCTTGACACAGTCATTTCATGCGCGGGGGCCCACTCCAGTTAGACTACGTCATCTTTTCTGTCAAAAACGGCGTCGTTTTTCTCTCGAGGCAAAACCTCGAGGGTTCTCGGTTAAACGACATCGTTCTTCGCTGGTTCCATTTCCTCTGTTGTCGTCGTCTCCTTGCCTTCCCCAAAATGAAAACCCGCCCTCTCAGGAGTCCGGCCTGAGCTTCCCTTCTCTCCCAATTCCAGACCCCTAGTTTTCAAGAAGAAAAAATTCTCCATTTTTGGCCAAGCCCCTTTTAGTAACCCGCAAATTATGATTCATTAGGTTTTTTTTTTCTTCGAGTGGTATTAGACTTGTAAATTTTTAGTTTTGATTTCGTTAGTTTTTTTTTCCTCTCAATCCCAAAATGTCGTCCAAGGAAATCTCGATGGTCCCCCCGCAAAGGCTTGACAACGGGCTAAATCCCCAGCTCGTTTTCCAAGACGACGGCCCACTTCGTTTCCGGGTTGCTGACCCAGGCCCCGGCTCCAAGACACGCGAGTCAACCGCTTTCATCGACCACAAGCTCTTCTCCCTCGACCGCGACCGGTACTTCTCCGCCCCTCAAGCCCCGGAATTTCGCCGAACGTTGTATTCGAACGGGCCTTCCCGCAGGCAGGACCCACATGAGACTGGCGATTCCGATGCCGATGAGGAAGAAGATGATGACGTCGATGACGAAGACGACGACCCCGAGGAGGTCGATGAAGGCGATGCTGACGCCCAAGTCCTTGGCCTCGTAACCCTTGATAGTACTAACAAAAGCAACAGTATTAGTTCTAATACTAATCCCAACACCAACAATAATAACAACACTAACGGCGGTGCTTCTAGTAATCTTAACAATAACGATAATGGAGCTGCAAGCGATGGTGGTGTAAATGGGGATAAATTGGGAAATGGAAAAACCAGACACCTTTCTGTTTTTGGTAAGAAATGGTAGCTCTTGCGTCTCTGTTTCTTCTTCTCATTTTTCATTTCCTAATTAGAAATACTATAATTGTTTTCTCGTCTGTGTTTGTTTTTATTGAGATGGACTGCTATTTTGGGATGGTAGGATCGGGTGGGGAGATGATGATGAAGGAAGGTAACACGGGACAGTCTGTGAATATTAACTCAAATAATGCTGAGACCATTGGGGAGCCCGATGGAGATGTCTATTACTCGCAGTATTTGCAAGCTACGGAAGGGGCCGGTTGTTCTTTGCAGAAAGATGTGGCTGCAGAGAATGGTTGTGGGTTTAGTGGGAGGAAAGATTCTTCTTTTTCCATTGAATCAGGGGAGTCATTGAGGGCGATTTTCTCAGACCCTGTCACGTAAGTTAAATTTCCTATTAGATCTTGTGAGTTGTTGGCATATTTCCTTGTAGCAGTTTGATATTTATATAGCAACATTAACTGAGATGGTGAGTTTCCTTGAGAAAAATCAGTGGTAGCAGGTGGCTCAGATTAAAATATATTGTCAAGATATTGTTGTTGCCGGTCCCAAATGATGGAAAGCCTGAAGAAGTTGATTTTTTTTTCTCTGAATTGCAGCATCTTCTGTTATAAATATATTTTGTAGTTTATTTGTTGGTTACAACAGGTGGTCATAAAAGGTTGGTATAATATGCCTGGCCAAGAAGTGCTCAACGAGCATAACCATTTACTCAATAAGATAAGGAAGTAAAAATATTTATGAATGATTTGCAATTGTCATTGGCATTACGTGTGCAACTGAAACATGAATACATTCAACATTTAGTGATAGCATGAACTTCACCACATATAGCAACAAATACTAAAATGCAGCTAGGCTAGTATGCTTAACTAAACAGTTTCTTTGTGCTTTAAGTAACATTTGACGCCTTGCAAGATGTGAGGTCATTGAGGATAATCTAAAACAACTTATATGTATTGCCGTTAGATATGTCTTTCATCTGAATATCAACTGCTTGTTATGAGAATAATAAAACTGTTATCTTTACGATGCATTCTACTTTTCAAATTTCAGTGGAGCTCTTATGGATGATGCGATGATTTTACCTTGCGGACATTCTTTTGGAGCTGGCGGGTTACAGCATGTCCATAGAATGGTATTCTTGGGTGTACTACACTTAATTTTTCCTATGTAATATGTTATTTTATGAATTCTTTTAGGAGTACAAAACTATATTGAACTAATGAACTGAATAACGCAGAACCAACTCATAGATGGGCTAGTTTTTCCACTAGTTGTCTATTCCTAGAAATCGTCTATGAAAATTTAGTTGTTACACTACCTGTCATCCTGAGTTTTTTTAGCTAAGACATTTGGCAAATCTATGAGCTGAAATACTGCTTTAACATTTCCTTAGCTGTGAGCTAGTTGAAAAATATGGTGATGCTTTAGTTGGCATTAAAATTTTGAATGTTGAAACATACCTGTCTTTTTTTACACAATTATGATCAGCACAGTTAATGAAATAATTTGAGAGAAAAGAGTTATAATATTATAAACAAGGCAAGCACCAAGAGGTTTCTGCCAGTGTACAAAGGAAGGTTTACTTATTACCAAAGAGAAAGCAGAATAATATAATGGTCCCCTAGGTCCTCCACAGAATTAAGAGGATAATCATTAGATAAAATAGTTAATATCCGGAACCAATGACATCTAATACTAGCAAAAGGGGACATAATGTAATGAAAACCCTCTAGTTCCTTTCTTTCCCAATCACGCAAATGAGAGCAATTGGATTGAGTGACATAATCTTCTTACTAGATATGCAAGCCCTATTCACTGTGCCCATAACTCATCCGCTATCAAAACTTCTAGCCTTTGCACACCTAATAAAGGAGATGGTTGTCTTGAATCCTTTACTGTTGGTGAAATATAACCGATAATATGTTTTTCTTAAGTTGTTTTTAAAAGAAGAAAAATTTTGCTCCATATGGATAAGTATTTGTTTTCCTGCTTGCTGTTGATTTATTTTCTTCTTTGCTTGATTTCCTTAGTCTCAATTCACGGAAAAAATTTGTTTGTCCAGTTGGCAATTACTCCTTTTATTTAAATTTTATGGTTATTTCTGTACTGATTTTGATTTTATGCAAATTTTCATCAGAAAGCTTGCTACACTTGTTCACATCCAGTGTCAGAAGAGTCAATAGCTCCCAATCTCTGTAAGTAATTCTGCTGTTGTTGTGGCAGAAGATTGACATCCTCTTAAAATTGTTATTCTCTTACTATGCTGGTGGACTTTTCCAGCTCTCCGAGCTGCAGTGCAGGCATTCCGTAGGGAAGACGAGTTACAATTTTACCGCTCATCTAAAAGGAAGAGAGAGAAATTCGACAAGGTTTGCTTCTTTGTGCTTCATTACAAGATTTAATTCAAATTGTGAAAAAGTAGAGGAGTATGACAGTTATGAAAGGGAGCAGACTTGGTGATTATCACTCATTTTCTTGTTAAATGAGGGGAAAAATAGTGAATCAAATTCCCAATTCACCTTCATCATGTGGTTTTTTTTTTTGTTTGCTCCTCCTCTTAATTTGTAGGACAAGGCTAGCTATGGTGAATCGACTCTAACAGATACTCCAAGGAGTAGAGGTGTTCAATTTCCATTTGCTGTGACAGACCGGGTTATCATTAAGGTTTATTTTATAATGCACTTATAATTTTTGCTTATAATGCATACTTTCTTGTTGGTGGAAGTTTATGAATTAAGGAAATATGAATCAGGGGAATAAAAGGACACCACAGCGCTTTGTAGGACGCGAAGCTGTTGTAACTACCCAATGCCTAAACGGATGGTTAGTATGAAATTTAATAATCTATTCTTTCCTTGGTAGTTGAGATGAAATTGTGTTGTGCATTTGTTTTGCATAGTTGTATAATTTTTATTGCTCTCATTGTCAATCTACTTTATCTTAGGTGCCCTTGTGACATGCTGTATATCTGAATGTTGACTTAAGATAATGCTTTTGATCATTATTTTCCTGCTAGGGAGGATAGAGTGCGTTCACCCTTGAGATTAAATTGCCCAAGAATTGCCTGCAGTCTTCCAACATTCTTGAAACTTTATTGAGTCAAAATTTGGGATATTTTATGCACTTTTCTTTTCTTATAACATATAAAAAAAAACTTGTGTTGCAGGTTCCTTACCCTTTTAACACATGCATAAGAATTCTGGAAATAGCAAGTTGTTATCTCGGCAGGATGAGTTAATTCTGATTATAGATTTTCCCCAGGTTGAACTTTTATCTTAAAATGAAGGAATCCTTAATTTTCATTTCATTTAGAAACTTATAAGCTAAGGTGAATCTTCTTGCTTCTCAGAGTTATTTTTGACTCTAGTTCAATCAGTTAGACCTTTCTCTAGTTGTTGGTGCCTGCCTTGATTATACCTATTGTATTGTCGTATCATATTAGCAGAAACCAAGATTTTCAGAGCTTATAATTTTGAATTTATCTTTTTTGAAACAAAAAATATATATGTATGCATTTACACGCACCAAAGGGGTGTAAATCCATGCACAAAAGAATATGTTCATATCAATCAGTGTCAGTAAGGTCCTGAAGAAAAATAAAGATGATGACCCTTAAAAAACTTAGGGTTAAAATCAGCTATCCTTAATCTTATCAAATTTGACATATAAACTTGAATTGATTGTGGCTTTTTATATAATTCATTCGGTAGCTTCTCCTAGATAAAACATAGCAAATTGCTTTGCCAGGCAAATACTGGTAGTAGGCCTGAGCTGTTTATCAATATTGCTTTTTATCTTCCGTTTCTTGTTTAATTCACTTTCTTGTCCTTTTCCACCCCAAATCTCATCTACAGGTATGTTGTAAAGACATTGGACAATGCAGAGAGCGTTAAGTTGCAGTATCGTTCACTTGCCAAGTTGCCAAATGATCCATCCTCAAAAGCAATGTCAAGCAAGATGGCAGCAAACTGGCTCTAGAATTTTTGTTTTTGGGCCAAGCAAAATGAAGCAGTTATACTGATAACCAATATGCGCGTTTAACCTAACTGTTCTACTTTTAGGTTTCTGCTTTCATTTTTCTGTACTTGCAATTGACATTGGTATACTCCCTTGTAAATTACAGGTCCTTCCAAGCTTTGTTCTAGCTAGAATGACATTTTAACCAGTATAAAGTCCGCGATCCCTGTAAACTTTTTTTTTTTTTTTTTTTTGTATCAGACCAATATTAATGTATATTTAGTAATATCTGTTATCATATTTAGAGTTAATTTGCAGGTGAAGCTTATTGCTGTTTTCTGTTTGTGCATGTGCTCATACAGGCACCAGAAGCCTTATAACAAAAAAAAAAAAGTAATTTCCAAATATTTGTTTCTTAAATCTGAAAATAAAACATATAATTGTAGTTGTACTGTCTTTATCATTTTCTATAAGAAAAAACAAACGGGACCTCTAAAAATTATTCTTAATACTAGCTTATGAATGTGAAATAAGCAAATACAGGTAAGAAAAATCTACCATTCAAACAAATTGAACAATCTTGAACAGATCTAATCGAACAAAATCCTGACAATACTTCTGCTTTCAAATGGAAGTTTTATAATAAGATTCTGTCTTCAACCTCTATCAGAGGCTGACAAATAAATTTCAAGGACGGAAAAGAATGGCCCTGCTTTTCTTCCAATGCCAGCGGCCCAAAGTAAGCAAGGTTTATAAAAGCTAATATCCTATAATTAGTTTGTTGTAAATGGCTAAATGCACAAACAAGTTTCAAGGCTTGTATTTGGCAAGAGAAGTCAACACAATTAGAGATTAAGAGAGAACTTCTTAGTTACTAAAATCAGAAACAAGAGACGTTCTCTTTTGACAGGAGGAAACTGCATGTCGAATATATTGAAGCTGCAGCTGCCTTGACAGCCAATTCCTTCTCTGAACTATCCCCTCGCCCTGATCTGCGCCATGAATGATGATCTGTTAAAAACTTTGAATAATAAGCGTTACAACCAGATTTTATAGCAAACTACAAAATCTTGGTGATAAAATCCAATTTATCAGCCAATAGGCTGGCAGTCATGCCATTGGCTTTTTCAACCAATAACAATACCTGAGTTGGTTTTTTGGGTTAAGGCACATACTTCTTTATGAAAGTTCTGTCCATACAGTCACGTACACGCATACAGGATACATAATTTCAAGAATCGGTCACAAAGCACAATGAAATGAAATGGCCAATTCACCTTAAAATCCAATCTTGACAAAGGAAGCACTAGATAAATAGAGTACCATTTCAATATTGAGAGCATGTCCACATACAATAATATAAAGCCAGTATTTTATCCATTTATAGAAACAACATCCAGATCATCTGTGAAAAATTATACACTTCCAAAAGATAAACCAACTAGAGGATATTTCCGCAATTGAAAAAAATTTAGCAATCCAGTTTTGTTTTTTCGCATATTAATCCCTTTTTAAACCATTTTGCAAGACAAACTAGGAGATCTGATAAACTGAAATATAGGTGTTCATATCATAGATCTTTTCCTCTTTTTACCCAGATTACTAGTTTTACACATTAGAAAGATAAAACTTATAAGGTTCCTTTTCCTGAAAGCTTTTAGCATTGCAGCATATAAAAGTCCAAATTAGAAACATGAATCTCACTCGACCGAGATAGAGACATTAATATGTTTATGTTCACAAAAACAACATTAGATCCAATCACGACAACATGAGCATCCAAAAAACAATTTGTTTATCGAAAACGCCTTACCTGCAGTCAGATTCTGGTATCCCAAAAGGTTTTAAACTGAAACTTGTATTCCAGTTAATATGTTGCAGCCCCTGATCACAGTGCAACTGCATGTCTTTTACTTGGTTTAACCAACTTTCCTGAAATTAAAACCAAATTTATATGATAAAAAAATTCTTATTGTTATCTGTCAGGATATTAAGAGTAAAAAAAGAGAGAAATAATAAGAAACATAAAAAAAAAACATATTTTTTAAAAAATATATAATAATAATAATAGTAGAGTTATATTTTAATTTTTTAAAAATAATGATTAAAATTAGGATTAAAATTAATATTTTAAATTTACTTCATAACAGCCACCGCTGCATTGATTCTCATGATAGTGGCCACTTTAATTGCTTATAACCTATAAAAGGCTCAATCTTTATGTTATAATCAATCAAAAAAAATAATAAAATTATTTCTCATATTTCCTTCTTTGTTTCTCTTTTATTTCTCTCTCTTTTTTTCTCAAGATCAGAAAATCATATCAAAGGCTTCTGATAAGGTGGTATCAGAGCCCGAACTGGCGGAATCCTACGCCAAAGTCACACCCCGCACTTGGTCCAACTTGTCAAACACCTTAGACATGGGTCTGATATAAAGATAAAATAGGGAAGAAGAAGAACAGAGAAGAAAATGAAGAATGTTGAAGAGAAAAAAAGACAATCTTTTTATTGATTAATTTTCCATTCCTTTACAGACGATAGAAGATGGTCATTTTATAGACTTAAATGCAACAAGGGAAACATTTTCGTTTGCGAAATCAACTTGTCGAAATTACGCAGTGTGGTGAGCACGATGTCCGTCGTGGGATGAGATGAGGATGGCTGAGGCATTGGTTGCTGAATTGATGAGTTTATCAGGATTGACAAACCCTAACTCTATTTTTCTTATTATTTTATATTTTTGTATGAATTTCCTAACTTACCATTCCTTTTATTTTACTCTATCCCTTAAGTATCAACCTTATCCTCAAGGTTGATTTAGGAAAACCTTGTCTTTCAAAGACCCTTTCGTGTCAATTTCCTCCATGGCCATTACGGATTTATTTGCACAACGATGTCCTGAAAAATACAAGTCTCCATACTTTTAGCAAATAGCTATTACTCTTCTAGGTTCCATATTCTTTTGGAGCGGTTGATCGTTATTTCTTATTTCAAATACTTTCACGAATTTAACAAATTTATCAGTATGATATGAACTTCAAGACAGTTCTATAACAAATTGTTCCTGTAGTAAACCATGTTCGAATGTTTGATTAAGCATTTGCGGCTTGAGGAGTCTTAGTATGGGCTATAACTATGGATTGAGACCACTAATAAAAGTGGATATGAAAAAATTTTCTGAAAGTGTTGGGTTATCTATATCCATGAGAGAGCGTAAGTATTCAAATTTTTCTAAATAGTCAAAAATAATACATGTTTGAGATAATTTGGTAAATTCTTTTATGAAATTCTTTCGTAATGGTCCCCCAAATCTACGATAGAGTTCTTCCACAAAATATTCTCAATTTATGACATTAATTTTGGTTTGTCATCCATAGCAGCATATATCGGCAACTTTTCCTAAGTACAATGATGTAATCGTCACTTTCTGCTCGTCATGAGTATTGTGATCATAAAATATTTTTCACACCTTATGATCTACCCATGTGAGTTTATTCCTTCCAAAAGTGGTCTGGTTCGGTCCAATGAACCAGGCATAAATAAGGGTTGAAACCCTTCTATGTCGTGTGCGCCGTTCAGGAGAGCAACAAGGAGACGGCTGCCACTCGGGAGAGGAAGCAAACCTCCCTCTCTATGTGGATCCGTCGGCTTTGGCCGGTCTTCCGCGAATGTCAGAGTCCCCAGCCCATTCGTGCTGCTCGGGAGGAGAAGCGAATCATCTACGTCGCGGGTTTCGGTCGTCAAATGCGTCGAGTCTTTTCTAGGTTTCTCCCGGTGCGACGCTCAGCCGCGTATCAGCTCTGCCAGGTACTCGAACTAATGCTGAAATTCGCGTTTCATCTCGTACATTTCTTCCATGAAGGAGGTGAATTTTCGATCTACGTCTTTCACAAAAAGTTTGATCATTTCGGGTTTCTCTAGCTTGACCACCGCTGCCTTCCCTTTGAACCAAGTGCGGGGTGCGACTTCGATGTAGGATTCCACCGGTTTGGACTCTGATACCACCTTGTTAGACACCTTAGATAAGATTTTGATCTGAAGAGAAAATAGGGAAGAAGAACAGAGAAAAAGATGAAGAATATTAAAGAGAAGGAAAAACGAAATATTTTTATTGATTAATTTCCCATTCCTTTACAGACGATGGAAGATGGTCATTTATAGACCTAAATGCAATAAGAGAAACGTTCTTGTTGGCGGAATCAACTTATCGAAATTACGCGGTGTGGTGAGTACAACATTCATCGCGGGATGAGATGAAGATGGTTGAGGCGTCGGCTGCGGGATTGATGAGCTGATCAGGATTGACAAACTCTAACCCTAGTTTTCTTATTATTTTGTCCTTTTGTGTGAATTTTCTAACTTGTCTTTTCTTTTATTTTACCGTAAATGGTTCTTGACATTATCATAAAATATGCAGATGAACTATGTCGACATGCCTACAGTATATGTTCTATTTATATGTATTGCAAATTAGTTTCTTTACCAAAACAAGCTAAATAGAACTCCTAAGCAGGTACTACAAATCATTTGATTAAACTGTGTGCCTCAAATGTCTTTTCATAACATACTATAGAAGAAGTAATTTGTCAACATACTCACAAGTTGTTTCTCTTCCTCACAAAGAGCTTTATTCATCTGATCAAACAGCAAGCTCCATTTTGCCCGATGTTTCTCAATGGTTGCATTATTGGGAAATCCATCAGCAGAACTCTTCATAGCATGGGAGTCATTCTCTTGAGTAGATGAAAACTCCTTTACTATTAGAAAGGGTAACTCTGTAGTGATAACAGCTCGAACTCTCTTTTTACTCCGTCGTAGTGCTGCCATGACAAAGCAGAGTCCAACATCAGGAAAAAATTTACATCTATTTGCCATTTTTCAGTGATTTATTTGAGGAACACCTGAAAGACGCCCTTTAATATCTTGATGAAGCAGTTCCAGCCATTGAGCAGCAACAGTAGCAGCTGAAAAAACCAAGGATATAGTCAATAGAGGTGTTCATCCATTTTCTGTTGTGGCATTTGACGTGATCTCTTCCAGCAGAAAGTAGAGACACGTCCAGCTTTAAGATATATAAGTTTTATCATATCAAAGAGTGATGTACTAACGACCATTTTCATCAAGAATCATAGTAAAAATTTTGCAAAAATCGGCTTGGTACCATTTCTCACTTAAGTGTTGGAACACAAGATAGGTAAGGTAGCAACCATTTGAGTATGGAAAAAGTATAGGTATGAGACAATAAGATAGCGACCTTTTATGGTAAGGGAAGCACCACTAGTGAAGTTTGTGGATTCCTCCTTGGAAACAGAACTAGCAATTTCGGATGCCTTAGCTAAAGATGATAGCTTTAGTGTCAGCGCATCATCTTCACTGGCTGTGTCAACCATGCTTGAGTCACAATCTCCACTTTTCTCCTCCGAAATTGAAGATAAACATTTATTCAATTGCACCAAGTGCTCTCTTGTCTGATTGCTCTCTGATGAAGCGCTCAAAAGCCTACCCTCATTAGTGAAATTAGATCTGTAAGTTCCTGAATCATTCATAGTTTCCAGGTCTTTCCTGTTCTCTAAATCTTTACTTCCAAGTTTTATTTGACTTGAATTTTTGCTTCCCAAATGGCAGTGTTCAACTTTTTCTGATCTAACTAGAGCCTCTATTATGGAATGGACCTGTTTTCTATTCCTTACATGATTTATAATCCCGGGGTTCAGCTCATTAAGCAGTCCACTGGGAGCAGCAATCTTTGTAAACCTGTCCACCTGTTCTCTCTTGGCAAGCTCCATCTTTTTCTTGAGTTGATCATTTTTACACTTCTTCCCTCGCTGTTTGGGCACCGGTATCCCTCCATGGGAAGACGATAAGAAACAGCTAGACATTGATATTCCACCATGAGAAGATGAGAGAAAACCATTTTGCTTCATCTCCTTCCAGACCCTCAATGGATCTTTCTCCTCCGTTGAAACAGTAGAACTTCCACATTCAGAAACATCCCTTAACTTCTGATGATTCTTATTCTTGTCATAATCAAATGAACAATGGTTCACTGAGCTAGAAACATCATCCGTGTTGAGATCCAAGCCTAATCCCCTATTGGTAGCACCAGAGTTAACCCTTTCCCTCTCATGCTTCCCAAGAAAAGGTTGCCTCTTAGAATCCTCAGCAGATTTCTGACATTCACCAAACGAAGAATTATTGCTGATGCAAATTTCAGTATTAAGATCCATAGTTCTGGAGACAACATTGACCTCTTTGCTCTTTTCAATCCTTGCTGATTCAAAGGCTTCATTGTCTAAGGTCACTGGAACCTCTCTAACTTGAGCTATATTTTCTCCCCTAAATTGGAATTGACCCCCAGATCCTTTACTTCTAATACGTTCTGAATTATTAATTCTGAGTTCTGCAGTAAAAGCAAAGCAATTTGAAAATAACCCCACTGCCTAAATAAGAAAGCCAGGAATTGAAATGTATATTTTGTAAGAAAAATAAACAGTACCCTCCCTATTTTCTAGAGAAGTAAGCACTGCTTTAATTCAATTATACATCTTTCCACTTTCAAGATCATAGTAGGTTAAATCAAAATCATCACAAGCCACTACCCAAGCATATAAACATATTTTATGATTTTATGTTCTAGTACCATTAGATGCATAGTCGGAATCAAGACCTCCCATCTTAACACGTTTAAGAACAAGGCCATGTTCTTCTTCTAATTGATCGCCGCCCCTCTTCTCGGCTATAATCTGAAAAAGGAAACCCCAAAACCAGACAGAACAACATGAAGGATGGACTCAACAGAATTCCCTCCACGAAATAAATTAGAAAAAAAAAAAAAAAAAAAAAAAAAAAAAAAACCAACCTTTGAGTCCAACCCGGAAGCACCTTGTTCCTCCATCGTATCAAAAACTCGTCCAGTTTCAAATTGAAATATTTTATTAATCTTGTAGATTGATTGATTGAGAAAATGAATTAAATCCAATAAACCAACCGAGAAATACAAAAGTTGAGTCTTCGTTGTTGTTGGGCATTCAAATGGGAAACCTTTAATGTTGTTAAAGATTTGAACTTTATGGATTTAGAGGCGGTGAGATTTGAGCAGGGATTGTTTTATTAGGTTTTGGAAGAGAGGAGCGCAGATCTGTTGCAGATTCGAATGTAAAATGATTTGAATTGCAGAGACGAGAGAGCGGTAGACAACAAAAGTTTTGTCTGATCTGAGATTTGTATAAATATAATGGAGGACGATGATAACAACGTGGGTTTTTGAGGTTTTCAAATTCAAATACCAAGTTGTTGGAGGGAGGACTTTTGGCCCAACCTTTTCTTGCCCGCTATTTTTCTTGGGTTTAAATTAAGCTTAAAGTAAAATTACATGTTTCATGTTAGAATTAGAAAGTATCATACAATATAATTTAATAAAATCTATAATTTAATATGTATTAATATAATTGTAATGATTAAATTGTGATAAATTTTACATTTTTTATATTTATAGATAAATATATATATATATTATATACTTACTTTAATTAAGATAATCAATTCAAACTAATTTTTCTAAAAAAATACTATATAATATAGCTTACAATCATTAAATAAATTACTTTTTACCGATCAATATGTTTTTCTAATAATTTATACTTCTCATGCATAATTCATGTAAATCGAGAAATATATGTAAATACATCAAATTAAAGTTACTATCTTATAAATTTTAAAGATTGTAAATAATTTTAGATTTAATGTCTTTTTGAAGTTACTTTAAATATAAGTTACAAAAAGTTGCATAATGATATTTTAAAAAATGAGAACTTAACATTAAATATAAATGCTAGGTAATAATTTCCCCACTTAAAATTTATATACATCCAAAAAATTTAGGCACATATACATTTTTTATTCACTATGTTATTACCCTTACAATTGTCACAAATATATATTACATAATATATACATTATGCACGAACTCTTCATATAGCTGATTAACTTGTGGGTTTAGATAAAATGAGTTTTATCATTTGATAATAAAAAATTTACCCTTTTTTAGTAAATAAAGATTATCTAATTTAAAATAATAGTTTTAATTCGACAAATATATATATATATACACACACACACACGCGCGCGCTTATATCTTATTATGTTAATTTTACATTTTTATTCATATTTTATAAAATTATAATAATTATCATGATAAACTCATAGTCAGAACATAAAAATCAGAAATAAATTTTATATTGGGGTGAAAAATAAACTACAAGTTTGGTAATTTAATTTCACATACATTATTTACTGCATACATATTTAAATATAGTACATAACACAACTATTTCCTACTTATTAGATATATGATTTAGATAGTTTAGAAATAAAAGAACTGTATGGAAGAACTGCTTATTCAATTATTTTGTAGTTAACTCGGTCATGGCAGATAGTTGCTGAAGTATTTAGGATTTGGTACTTGCTACGATCTTCATGGTGTATCATTAGTCCTCCCATTTTTATAGAAATTTTATCGGTAAAATTATAGTCATTAAACTTTTTCTTGTAGCTCTGTTGTATTTTTTCACGTGTCAGTCTCTTAATACAAATAATTGTCGAATGTCATCTTCTGCATGTGCACATCTTCGTAAGTCATATGTATCTCAGCTTATCATTTGCTCTTCTTCTGTTCATAGACAAATAACTCAAAGTATATTTATTTTCCGTTTTCTTAAAGTATTGTTGATTTCCCTCAACTAAGTTAAGTTTATTAAAGAATGATCAATCTCGAAGCAATTTCAATAAGCTAGTAGTACTTTAAGAAGACGTAAAACAAATATGCTTTGGATTACTTATCTATGGACAGAAGAAGTGCAAATAATAAGCAAATATATATTTGACTCGATGGAGACGTGCGTGTGCATAAAATGACATTCAATAGTTATTTGTATAAGAGAGTGACACTTGAAAAAATATTATAGAACTATAAAAAAAAATTTAATGACTAAAATCTTAAGAACAAGGTTCTTATTAAAAAGAGTAGGGAAATAATACACTACGAATATCACAGAGACAACGAGTATTCAATCTCAAATACTTTAACAATCACTTGTTATAATTAGGTCAACCGCCAAACAATTAGAGAAGTAGTTTTTTAATGATTACCGAATAATTTTTCTAAACAGTTTATTTATTTATAAAGTAATTATATTGCCTATTCTATTTAAATACGTATGCAATAAACAAATGTATGTAGAATTAGGTAATTAAACTTGTAATTTATTTATGATCATATTGGAATTTTTCTGTTGTTAATGGGATCTTTATCACATCATCATAATTTTTTCTTAATAAGAGAACACATCATAACATTTCAATAACTTATGCCCACCATATAAAAAAAAAAAAAATCATAGCATACCATTTTTTCAAGAAGTTATCTCCACTCATAGTCCTCAAATCATGAGTTATATATAATCCATTATTTTTTTGGGTAATTTTTTAACATTCAATGTTATTTTATGTTAGAAAATTAACTATTTAGAGATAAAGATTTCAACTTCGATTCTCGTTTAAAAATTACAATTTCAATTTTTGTCCGAATCAAGATCGACCTACTCAACTTCGATCTATTGAATTACTTTTTTTCAAAAAAATATACGAAGATAGAAGAATGATTTAAAAATAATGTAAAAAAAATGTAGAACAAGCCGAAGTATAAGTAAATACTATTTCTTGGTGTGTGAGCCCTGTTAATTTTCTTCTCCTTGAGAGTTAAAGCCTGGTTCGACCTCTAAAATTTAGAACGATGGCGGATCTGGTTCAAACTTCAAAGGATTGTTCATAGGCGGATGAAATAATTGTGTAATTGGGTTGAGGAGGATTGTATGAGAAAAAAAAAAAAGAAAAAGAAAAATTGGGTTATTACCATTGAATTGTTTGTGTGATCTAAGTCAAATTTACAGAGAAGAAATCAGTAAAATCCTATTTACTCTCAATTCTGATTCAACCATTTTTATTTACTCAGAATGCCCACCCTGCAATTGGAGCTGAGACAGCCAACAATTCTTCAGTTGACTCTCCGTCGTCTCCCTGAAACTACTCACTCTCACCAGACAGAAATGGGTACACCACATTCCCACACCCGAACCCGACTCCGACCCGACCCTACTCGTCTTCAACAGGTAACACACTGGTCCACAATCCATCCCTCTCCCCTGCACCACCAACCCCCATGCCCTCGTCCCCTCCTCCTCCTCCTCATTACATCTACAATTACCAGAATCCAAATCATCATTATCGCGATCGCCATTGTTGATTAGCAACTCTTTCTTCCTGATTCTACGCTCATCCTCCAATTGCTCAACGAATATCACGCCTTCCGGCAACTGATCCTCTCCTTTCTCCCACTTCCTCTTCACCAATCCCCACTCCTCCGCCTTCTCCGTCCTCGTCTTCACCGTCCCGTTGTCTTCCCCATACACTTGCACCAACAGCGGCGCTCCGGTAAGATTCTTCACGATATCCACCACCGACTCTCTCATCCACTCATCCACCTTCTCCCCCGACGAAACGGCGTCGTCTTTCCTCCACTTCTCCTCCTTCCGGATCTGCCGCTCTTGTTTCGCCGCCGAAACAGAAAGCTTCCCGACGGATGGATACCGAACACGCCGGCGCTGGGTTATCGGGGATAACAAACACGAACGCGACGGAGCATTGCGAAGATCCGGATTTCCGCGAAGAAGCGAACAATTTCCTTCCCCAACTCCTCGTCCGCAAACAATCGCCTTACACGCCATCCTTCAAAGACAGCGATGAAGAGAGAGAGAGAAGAGGAAGAAGAGAATCAATAGACGGATACCAGAATTCAAAACTAAACCTTGAAGCTTCCCCTCTCCCTTCTCTATGCTTCCTGAAGCCGCAAATCGTGCTTGATAAGCTACAAAGCGTGGCGTACAGGAAGCCGAGTCAAGAAGCATATATATATATTGGTGCATTATTCCGTTCCTAATCGGAATCGTTTTTTTTTTTTTAGTTTTTATCGGTAATGGATTAATTAATAATAAAGGAAATTATAATTAAGTGAATTTTCCTAAATAATTTGGACGGTCAGGATTTTACGATCAAGGAAAAAAAATAATACGTTGGTCAACGTGGAACCTGACTCGTGCACGACTCTCGAATAGTGCCAACAGCGAGATTGAATTATTGAGAGTGTGATGGAATGAGAACCCGTTGGATTTTAATCCGACGGCTGGAAAATTGAAGAACGTGAGATTCGTGTCGTAAAACGCCAAAAAGCACGTGGTTACACGCTTTGATTGAATGCAATCCTTGAGCAGGACACGCGCCTTGCCCTGCTACCAACCATATTGTTTACTGCTCGACACGTGGCTTCCACGTCACCTTAGTCTACTAAATTTTTCAACGAGCCGGATCCGGGTTAACCCGACTTATATAGGGCCTAATGGGCCAAGTTTATGTTATTTGGGCCCAAGAGACTTAGAATAATTTGTTTGGGCTTTTAGGTTCCGGGGTGGTCTTGGATTAGAATACTTACAAAGTGGGACGTGATAAAATGACCGGTGGTTCATCATGAAGGAAATGAAGCTGCCTGACCAGGAAGGTATTAATGACTACTTATGGCAGTTGAAGAGGTAGGTGACATGAGTGGTTGTTAGAGCCACATGTGGTTAGTTGCACCTCTTCAATTTCAAATTTATTTTCAGAAGACTCAAAAGTAAAAAAGCCTAATTAAATAAATAAGCATAATCCTAATTATTGCATAATTTTGTTGTTTCAATTAACCTAAGCAAAGATTACCATTTTAATTCATGTCTCCTCAAAACATATATTAAGAAACTTGAACTTTTAATTTTTTTTGATTTCGGTTTCTTTCGATTGAAATACAATTTAAATTTTTTAAATTTTATTCGAATAAATTTTTTGTTAATATCAAATAAATAATTTATCCACGTGGGCTTCGGATTTTAAAATTGTTATCAGTGTTGCGGTCACAAAATTACTATATTGACAATAATTTTTTCTATTTATTTTTTTTAAAATTTTTTAACAGTCATAAATTAAATTACAAACTTAAAGACATAAAGTTGGAAAAAAAAATTATCGACGCCTATTACTGCTATGATGTTTTTCAATCCTTATTTAAGTACCATCTATCATCCAGTTCAATAACATTCAAAAATTCAATACTTCAAAAGATTCGTGGTTGTCATATTGATTTGTGTGGATATCTATTTAACGATATTTAAATATTATTAATAATAAGAATGTATTTTGTATTTAAATTCAATAATAGTATAAACATGCAAATTACTCATTATATATAGAAATTAAATTCAAAACTGATTTAAACATAAAAGAAGTTACCAAGTATTAACACTTTGATTTAAAGTGTTATAAATGTTGTTAACGCATGTAGTATACTGGTTTTTCTTTGATATGCTTCTTGGATTTTATACAAAATACTCATATAATTTTAATTATATTCTTATTTTAAATTAACATGCACCACACTGTCAATGTGGGTTGCAGAGCTAAGGAGAAGAAAATGAGATGTAGATGACAAGTTCTTAACTTTCCTCTACCTACCACCTTTACCCTCCATTATAAAGACTCTTAGTTTTAATATCGTCAACTCAAAAAGATCCCCTCCTTACTTATTTCCCCTTTAATTCAAAGAAGAGAGAGAGAGAGAGAGAGAGTTATAGACAGAGCTTATTGTATATCATCTTCACCCTTCTTGCTGTCTTGATATCTTCCATCAAATCTCCTATCTATCTCCTCCTGTTATCATTAACCTCCATACATCAACATAACCAGTTAAGAACTCTCTTCCTTTTTCCTTTTTTCTTTTTCATTTTTTATCGGGTTTTGTTTTAAGATATTGTGTTGCTAGCAAATTGGTACTTGTAAAAATAGTGCTTTACTTTAAGTATGTTTGAATTAATATATTTGTTTCTCTTATGTTTACTATATATATACACATATATGCAGTGAGCTCTGAAATGGTTACGGTGGATGAAATTCCTTTTCCTCCACAGATCACGGTCGCCAAGCCACTGTCTCTTCTGGGTCATGGTAATTGTGCTATGACAAACATATATACGTGTATCTGTCTGTAATTTTGGTTGAGACTTTACATGGGTAACTTTCCAAATTGCTGTCTCCCTTGCAGGAATCACAGACATTGAAATTCATTTCCTCCAAATCAAGTTCACAGCAATTGGAGTTTACATGGAACCTGATGTTGTCAAGCATTTGCAGCAATGGAAGGGTAAGTCTGGAGCTGAACTAGCACAAAATGATGACTTCTTCGATTCTCTCATATCCGGTAATCAACTTACATAAATTTCAACACTACTTGATCATATATATGGAACCAAGAAAATATTTTTTTCAGTTCTTATTTTCTATGTGGTTACGTACTTCCCTTTGTTTTGGCCGGTGAATGCAGCACCTGTGGAGAAGTTTATTAGAGTAGTGGTGATAAAGGAAATCAAGGGTTCACAGTATGGAGTACAACTAGAGAGTTTTGTGAGGGATAGCTTGGCAGCTGTTGATAAATATGAAGAAGAAGAGGAAGAAGCCTTAGAGAAAGTTGTTGATTTTTTCCAGTCTAAATATTTCAAGAAAGATTCTATCATCACATATTACTTTCCTGCAACTTCAGCCCCTGCTGAGGTACCATAATAGATACTAATACGTTCTTTATAACTCATTTTTCCATGAAACTTTTCTGATGAAGTATATGTTTTTGCAGATTGGTTTCGTGAGTGCTGATGAAGGAAAAGAGGAGGCGAAGATGAAAGTGGAGAATGCGAATGTGGTCGAGATGATAAAGAAATGGTACTTGGGAGGAACAAGAGGAGTTTCTCCTTCAATCATATCCTCCATTGCCAATACTCTCTCCTCTAATCTGTCTAAATAATGACTTGTTGCCCAAGTTACTGGTTTGTTTGTTGGGTTCATTGCAGAGATGTCAACCAGCTTCTTCTTCATGCTTCTCCATCAATAAAAAAGATAACCCACCTGAGTTTTCTCCTTCTGGAAAATTCTGTCTTCTTCTCCATGTCCCTTGCACAATCTTTCTTTCCTAGCAAGCATCTCTGTTATGACACAAGCATATGAAGCAAGAATATATATATACTACTTTCGATATCTCCCATCTTTATCTGGGAATATCCAAGATTAATGTGTATGAACTATATATACAACCTTATTTTCACAACTTAATTAATAAATCTAAACTTTTTAGGACCTTCTCGGTCCATGTCTAACTTCATTGTTCATATTATGATATTATAATTTAATTAATTAAAAATATATAATTTAGACGATATAATATTTTCATTAAAAAAATTGATAATTTAAATTCAACTCGTATATAAATTCACTAACTCTTATAAAGGATCATTAAATTTTATTATTTATATTATATTACCATAGTTGAATTATTACGTCTCTAATAACTCCAAAAAAACATAAGTTTATGATCTAAAAGATCTAAAAAAAATAAAAAAAATGTGTGTCATAACAAATGAATTACACAAATCAAGCAACTGGGATTTGGGCATGAGAGAAAAGAATATTAGACAAAAAAAAATCTTCTGAGTTGGTAAAATAATCATCCGGTTTATCTTCTACCAAGAAACTATGTTTATCATTTACAGTCAATTGATAGTTCGTTAATCAGAATTTCCATTGTTCAAGAGACAAAGAATCCTTATCCTAGTATTATAAGCACCGCCAAAACTGATAACTATCCAATCTCATCTATAAAAAAAGATTCTAATATGAAACCTACAGTAAAAAAACTCACAATTGGACAAATTCCATGAAGAATCTACAGTTTTGTTCATCCCACCACCCTAAAGAAAATCAAAATCAATGATAAAGTTTGTACTAATAATGGTACGAACTAGGAGTCCCGAGTACTAATATGCACAGCCCTAGTGGCAAAATACTAATGCTACTTGGCATATTGCTAAAGAAGCAAAGACTCCCTTCTCCACAAGAAAGCAGTGAGGTTGCTCCACAAGTGCAAAAAAATTCTCGGCTGAAATCTTTTGAATCGACCAAAGAATTAAAGATAAATATGCAAAAAAGGGTATGGTCCATTAACATCTGTGTATGATGCTATTATGTGATATGTCTAGATTTCATCAAGATTAATCTAATCAATGCACTTTTTCCTCTATAGTCAGTGTATATATATATATTTTTCTATTCAGAAACAAGTTCAAAACTTGCAAGATTAATCTTAATGAATGTATAATGTTTATCTTATTTTCTCTCTCTCTTTTTTTTTTTTTTAAATTTCTTGTTTGGTTGTGTTATACTCCATAACAGATGCTTAAGAGAACTGTCCTCATCAACTCTACAGGCATACTCCCATGAGGCAGTGTCTAGAGGTGATGAATGAACATAAATTTTCTTTTGTGGACCCAGAAAGATAGAAGGCTTTAAAAAAAGAACCAAAAAGAGAATGAGAGAGAACTGGAGATTCCATTCTTTAAGCACAAACTCATGATTCCTTATGCTTCTGCTGCAAATGCCCATCAAATCAAATAGGCAAAAAGGTCTAGAGATATGAATCATATATCCTGTTTTTATCTAACCAAGTGCTTGAGAAATGTTTTTATTCCTCCCTTCTTTTTGTTAGTACAGAAGTGAGAGTGAATTCCATGTTACCGTGCTTTTTCTTGTACGGAAACATATGATGAAACAGTATTTTCATTTTATAACTTTTGTTGATCATTACATTCGCTTCAAGGTAATGACTTTCCCATGTTTTCTCGAGAGCAAGAGAAGGGGGAGAAAATATATTGGATCACAAGTGGAAACCAGATTTATTGCCAATTCTGACTTTTGTTATTTAGATTCGAGATCATGATTTTCAAGGCATTGTTTTGGGTTTGTGGTTCCAAAATCATTGAAGTGCCTGAGACAAATAAGACATGCATTATTGGCGAAAATAGCACATAGGCCCCATATACCACCTCTAAACTGTTCTTTTGACAAAAGATTAGCTTATGGGCAATCTCTAATCTAAAGAAGACTAAAACTGCCATTTTGTAGAGCTTGCATTCAAAGTTTGCACCTTAAGATTGAACAAAATGATTTCATTTGTTTTTCTGGGTCCAAACTCAAATTGTAATCCAAGAGTTTGAGTAGCTCAAATTGACAATCTCCCCTTTTTCCAACATGAGTATTATTTCATGGAAACACCAGTTTGCTAACATTGCTTCACGAGTTCTTCCTTTTTTTCTGCAGCCCAATCAGATAAGGACAAAAATTTGTTCATCAATTACATCTCATATATGGATGCTTTCTTCCCAAAATGCATTTTTATAGTTCACATATGAAATCAAAAGACAAATAAACAGCTACATGGAGGCACCGACACCAAAACCCTCTTGACCACATTACTCTTTTTTTCCCCTTCTCTGTGAGAAATAATTCAAGACCAATGTCAATCAACCCACCGCATCTACAGGAGTATCAGCTTGTCCACCAGGTGAATTCCCATGTTGCCGAATTCCGACCTCAACATCTGCAGGATTTGAGCTTTTTATTGTTGCTTGCTCCAGCAATGACTGGCGGCAAGTTGGACAAGATGAGTGTGACAACAGCCACGTGTCTATGCACCTGACATGAAACCCATGATTACATTTGGGCAAGACTCTTACTTTCTCACCATCAATGAATTCTCCAAGGCAAATTGGGCAATCTGTGGCCTTAATATCTAGCCCTGACCCATATGCAGCCACTGGAATCTGCCGCAATGCGCTTTTATTCAGGCCGGTAGCAGACAGACGCCCAGCAGACTGATCTGGGCTCCCAAAACTGGTAAACCTCCTGCTACATCTAAGAGCACATCGCACTATGGAATTGAGGCCTAAAGCACATATCAGAGCACAAAGCAAAGCTGCCAGTATGATCACCATGTTGGTGTCAAAATTTGCCTCTCTAGAATATGACCCTCTTGTTCTGGTTCCATCGTTGATTGGCGGCTTTGATTCTGGGTCAAGAAGTAGTCTGTGTGGCCGATAATGAAGAGTACTTCCCATTGCTGTTTCACAACTTAATAATAAGCACTCAAGGCAAAAGCTGGAGTTCAAAACTGTTGTACCCTTTTGATTTTCAAATGAAGCTAAGCTCGCCCTTTGAGCTTTTTTTGATGGAAGTTATGATCTTTGATTCCTTCAAGTTTCTTCCACAGGAAATCGAACTACAAAAGAGATTGATAGAAGGTAATTCATTTCCTTCATGTACGGAACAGAGCCTGGCTTGCTTCACCTTCAACAGATGCTGGAGCCTTGAGGTTCTAGCTAGAGGCTTCAAACTCACCTGGGTATTGATCGTAAAGCTCAAAACTTCACTTGATAAGGCCAAAAAACTTCACTTGGGTGCTGACTTAGGGCTCAAAAACTTAACTTGGGTGTTGATTATAAGGGTAAAAACTCCACTTGGGTGCTGATTTAAGGCTCAAAAACTTCACTTGGGTGCTGATTTAAGGCTCAAAAACTTCACTTCGGTGTTGATAGAACGCTGAAAACTTGACTTTGGTTGTGATAGAACTTAGAGGGCTAGAAAACTTCAGTTTGGTGTTGCTATATGAAGAAAAATTAGAGAACCCCAACACCAAATTATTAAGTATGGGATTTTGTGCTTTCTTTCTTGATCTGCAGCTTTCAGAGAGAGAGAGAGAGAGAGAGAGAGAGAGAGAGAGAGAGAGGAGAGGGAGAGAGAGAGAGAGATGGGCCTTTGAGTTATAGCAAGAGCAGTTCTCTCTCTGTCAGGATTCCCAGAAGATCAAGACTTCAAAAGAAAGGCATCTCTCCTTTATCACTAAAACAAGGGAAAAGTGAGAGGTAAGTTCACAGTTTCAGAGGCTTGAAAAACCGAAATTCAGCTTTGCCCAAGTTACAAAAAACTTTACAGACCTCAGCTCAATTCTTGCCTCGCTCATATAGAAACAAAAAGCTCAGAAAGGAAACTATTTATATATATATAAAGGAAATTAAAGGATATGATATGGACTTAGAGAACCAAGAAGATGACCTTACCAGAGTTGTGAAGAAGCCAATAATGATCTCCAGCCCAAATGGTGAGATGCTTTCTGCTTTCACATATATGCTTAAATGGTTCTGCGTGTACACCATAAAGGGTTACCATAAAAATGCTTGTAGTCTTTGGACAAGGCAAAGGTCACTGAGATACAGAGAGGAGGAGATACCAAAGCGTTTTTGTTTGGTGGGTTTTCACTTTTCATGTCATTATTATTGAGATAAATGACACGCAACAGAAATAGAACAGTTTTGCTTAATGGTTTCACCTAGTCTTTTTCATTGAGAAATTTCTTAGCTCTTATCTTTTTCTTTATAAAAAGACAAACTTGTACCCTGGAAGAAGGGTAAAAACTGAAAATGGGGTGTCTGAGAATTTTGATTATTTGTATTCTGTCCCATTAGAAATAATGGTCATTTACTTATCCTCAGCACCAAATCTCTTCTTCCTTTAATCACTTTGAATATAATCCCTTTCTTGCCATTGCTCCTGTCCTTTACATGGCACATTTGGAATCATTATTAGCCCTTGCTTTGTGATGGAAGGTGGAAACTCACAGTAAACGTACAGAAGGCAAAGAAGAAAAGAAGTGGGTATATTATATGGTACGATCATGAGAAACCCAGAAATACATTCACAAAATCTTCATGCGTCTGTGATTATCCCGCTGAGAAACATGCGACCTAAAGCTGCTGAGTATGGAGGATGGTGGTACGAGTAGGGCACCCAAATTTGCTGTAGATACGTGGAAGGACAGTATCACCCACACCACAAAAGGATTTTGTTAAAAGCTCCATTCCTTCTCCCCGATTAATGTCTACCTCCATTCATTCAAGTTCCATCAGCTCCATCTTTGTTTTGCCCCTCATCAATCAACTACTTCACTTCACCAAATTGAACAATAACTCAATCCGCGGTGCGACTTGATTTCAACTCGATTAAACTATGTCGATTAATTTAGTTATTTCTTTTTAAATCTAAAAACTATGTGATTATAAAGAATTAATCTCATCATAACATAAACTTTTTGACTTTTCACTTGGACGATTACACAGGAAAATAAGTTAAACTCCATCAAATTAAGTAAAATAAGTCCTAATTACATGTAGGGCAGCACGTGTGTGAGCCCACAAGAGATGAAAACATGGTGATCAAGACACACACATGCCTAACAAATCACTGTTGAATCCTCCATTCTCATTATGGCAGGCATTAATATATCCCCAATAATGTTTCTTATTGCATACTTCTAACATCTTCCATCCCACATCACATCAACTTCTTCACGAGAGATTAAAGCCCACATATAATATAATTTTTGACTTCTTTTCACATTAATAATATAATAATTTAGCAACTATTTTTTTTTATATTTAAAAATTATAAATTCAAATATTATTAAAAATATAAAATTTATTTATGTAAATATATTATAATTTAGTGAAACTAAAAATTTAACTTATTAATATTTTTTTTATTTAAATTAGTTACAATGAAATAAAATTCGGCCTACATTTTAAAATGCAAACTCTATCTTTAATTTATGTAAATATATTAATAAAATTTTTAAAACTAAAAAAAAACTCAACTTTATATCCTTACGATATTATTATATTTAAATATTATATTCGTCTACATTATGATAATTTTATTTAATCTAATTATTTTATATAAAAATATAATTAATAAAAGAATTACTTATTAAGAAAGTTATCTATTCAATTATAGAATTAGGTGGTAACAAATAACTATAATTTTTTTTTGAAACACAATTAATTTTTTTTAATTTATTAAAATTTTAAATAAAAACAATTAGTTTGTTTTTCTTTTGTTTGAACTTTCCAAAAAAAAAAAAAAACGGTAAACTTCATGGGAATAATACGACACCGTTCCAAGATTAAGAAAAAAAAAAAGAACACAAATCATAAGAACATAAATGAGCCACAGTACGTACTGTCTCAAAGGTTGAACGAGGCCCTGAAATCTGAGCTTCCCTCTCTCTCTTCCCCTCAATCTGATAACCAAAGGGAGAGTTGGGGAAGGGAAGAGGTGAACAAAAACAATGGACATGGAAGATCCAAACCCAAAAGGTAACCAAAACCCGAATCCAAACCCTGCATTACAATACCAGTCCACCGCTCATCACCATCCACAATCTTCAGCCACCTCGTTTGCCAACCCAGCTGTCCCGTTTCGAGGTTCCTACCACAGGCGGGCGCAGTCTGAGGTCCAATTCCGGATCCCAGACGATCTGGATCTGGCTTCCGACCCGTTCGGTAGCTTTGAGGAGTTGGGATCCGAGGATGACCTCTTCTGCACCTATATGGACATTGAAAAGTTTGGATCCAGACCAGACGACGGAGCCGGTTCGTCTGCACCGAAATCAGAGAATGTCGAAGGGTTGGATAATGGTGGTGGTGATGGAGGAGGGAGAGAGAAGAATGTGGATGAAAATGTAAGGTCAAGGCACAGGCACAGCAACTCGCTTGATGGGTCTTCGATATTGGAATCTATTGAGGCCAAGAAAGCTATGGCTCCTGATAAACTCGCTGAATTGTGGAATGTTGACCCCAAAAGAGCCAAAAGGTTTTCCCTTTGTTCCTCTGATTCCGTTCATGTTAATTGTTTTCTCCTTATATCATTTGATGTGGTTGTTTATTTATAATTTGACTTGTTGCGCTTGACAATTTATTTTATTGTTCAATGCTTGTTTAGTGGGTTTTTGTTGGTCATTTTAACCTTCATCTAATGAATATTGATTTGAGTGATATGTGAAATTTTGTAGTTAGTTGGAAGTTTTTGATTGTAATTGTAGTGGAGAAGCCATTAAAAGATACAATTTTTATGAATCTACTGCCATTATGGTTTAAAAGTTTCTTTCTTTGTTGACTGGTATGCCGTTATTAGTCTCACTAGAACTTTTTGGCGTCTTATACTTTGGTTGTCCAGCCTAAATGAGTCAGGTGCAATATGATTTGCTTATTTTATCGCTATCCGAAATGAGAAAGGAAAAAAAAGGTCCCAAAAAGGAACAGAATTTGGGTATTTTTAACATTATTGTCAATATAACATATCGGGATTGTGATTGTTTGGGGATTTGGTGGGGATCTTCTTTCTATGAGAGCCTACTTTTTAAGAAATTTGATTGAAATGATAAATTAAGATCCTTTTTTGTTACCTCTCTTTTGTTGATAAAGATTGTGGTGTTTCCATCTAAATCTAGCGGTCCACTTGTCATGATTGCTTGAAGTCTCCAGCCTGTGGTTCTTGATTATTTGTTTGAGGGGATATATAAAGAAAAAAATAGCATAATTCTTGCCCTATCAAAAGGTGATCAATTTTGATAGCGACTTCTCGAAAATTAATTGGTAAAATTGACTTCATTTTTAATTGGTGATATTCAGGTGCTGATGTAACAGGTTTTGGTAGAGAGAAAGTATCCTGCTTAAGATATTATCATCAATAGGTGGCTTAATATTCTAACTTTTGCTACCCTAAGTCATCTATTCTGCCTATGTGCATTGCATGTATACCTGCTCATGGGGCATGTGTCTCTCTATCTTTCTTCCTTTTACCTCAACAGGCAGTATCCATCACTCACAAATTGGAAATGTCATGTTCAAGTACTGTTCTTAATTATCAAAAATTGAAAGGCACCCATATGGCACATTTCATAGCAAATTGATTAATGTTAGGTTGAATTCCCACATTTTGTTAGAATCCTTAGTGCTGAGTTTTGTAGCTTTGACAGTCTTAAATGTGTTCCTTTTTCGTTAGGAACGACTCATGTTATCACATCAGTCCCTCATGTGTGAGATGTTTTTTCTCGGCATAGTTGAACTTATGCAACTGGAACTGCTTTCTATTTCTTTATCAGATGAGGTGACTAACTTCTATAGAGAGCCCTGCAATTAATTTTTCAGTGCATGATAATTATTGCTCCTTAGAATTCTCTAGTGAATAATTAGAATCTCTTAACTCTCCACAAGATGTTGATTGACTCATCAAAGTACTTATAGAGTTCTGAAGTCATTTTCCCTTATCTTAAATTTCACACAAGTCTCCTCATGTCTGAGATCTTTTTTTCTTGGTATAGTTGAACTTACGCCACTGAAACTGCTTTCTGTTTCTTTGTCAGATGAGGTGACTAACTTCTATAGAGAGCCCTGCAATTTTAATTCACAAGTGCATGATAATTATTACTCCTCAGAATTCTGTAGTGAATAATTAGAATCTCTTAACTCTCCACAAGATGTTGAATTGACTCATCAAAGTACTTATGAAGTTCTGAAGTCCTTTTCCCTTATCTTAAATTTTTGACAAGTCTCCTAATTTGAACTTGGAAGCATCTTGGACCTACTCCATGCAGATGATCCATCCTTGGACCTACTCTATATCAATCTGAATTTCTCCTGTATGAGCTGCACATCCTTCCCTAATCCCTTTACTTCCAAGCAAGTGAAACAACCAGCTGTAGCTTTCAGTTTTTCAAGTTTTCCTGTCCGTGGAATGTTTATCATGTTCAAACAAGTAAAGAAATTAGAAATAAGGTACAAATTGACCATGAAGTGGGAAAAAAGATGCTCATATTCTGATTAGCTCTAGGCCAGACATTGACCCTGTTGTGTAAGTTGTCCTCAGAGTTTACTTCCTATGTCTTTGGAATTTGTGCAGCAATGCAGGTTAATGCTCTCATGCAAGTATCTGGGGTCTAAGGTTTTGAAACTTTATCTTTTCCCTTTCAGTCCTTTATTGTTTGGTTAGCTGGAACATATTTTTTGAAATAAAAAGTGTGAAATATTATTCACAGTGTACCAAAAGATCGGGTGTACCACCCATGTACAAAAACATTTACAATGAAATTAGTGTATTAATGACATTCTCAAAATCCCCATCATTAATGATGTCGTGACTGAACAAAATCGACCCAAACAGGTGTATCCACCTATCAATTAATCTATTAGTACTACTCTCAACACTATCAAAAGTTCTTATATTCTGCTCTTTCTATATGACCCCAAAAACAGTCAAAGGGATGATATTAACAATATTTCTTTTTACATATAAACCATCCCAACCCCAAATCTCCTCCCTAACCGAACTTGAGATAAGCCAATTGATTCCTAACATTGTTAGAATTTCTTAGCTACTAGTAGAGAAGCTAATAACTACCAAATCATATAAATCTTTTATTCTGTTAAGAGCTAGATAAAAATTTCTTTTTCCTAGTTGCATACATTAACATGTCCATTTTGTTCAAAGGTTATCCTCTTCAAATAGATCTCTGGATGTGTTTAGATTTCCCAGCTGATCATTTCTTATAATTTGTTTGCTTGTGTACATGATAGCAGTCTCTTGGTGTTTTCTTCTGTAAGACTTGTATTTTGTACTAAAAAAAAGTAGGTGTATATGCTTAAATAGAATTTTCTTCAATTTTTTTCTCACAACTGATATTGTTAAGCAGGATAATTGCCAATCGACAGTCTGCTGCTCGCTCGAAGGAGAGGAAAGCTCGTTATATTTCTGAACTTGAGAGAAAAGTTCAAACCCTTCAAACAGAAGCCACTACTCTTTCTGCACAACTCACATTATTCCAGGTTCTTATTGAATCACTCATCTGACCAACTTTTTACTAATCCACTAATCTAGGTATGTTCCAACAGAAATGTTATTTTCTTTACTGGAGGCTTTGGGTCTAATGGAATCTATTCCCCTACTTAAAATGAAGTGAGTCCAGAGTTTCAGTTCCTCACAGATGCATGGATATATTTACCAATTGAGAAAAAAGTGGTAGAAAAGGGGCCTTGGTAGGCAACCATGTGGATGCAACCAAATTTGTTCTCTGTTTGATGAAAATTAAAAGGAGAAATTGTTATACTACCTTTAGAACTTCATAAACAACCTTCTACTTCCTTTTGCCTTTCATAACTTTCTCAGTCACAAATGTGTTTGGAGTTACCATTAAGATCTTGAGAATCTATTTTACCAAATTGCCATGAATTTTAGACCACTAATCTTTCTTCTTTTGTTAGATACTGTTTCCTTATTTTTTTTATTGACGGCTGTCCTTGTTTCATTCCTTGCCTCTCATGTCCTCTTTCAGAGAGATACAACGGGTTTGACTACTGAGAACACAGAGCTTAAGCTTCGGTTACAGGCTATGGAACAGCAAGCTCAGTTACGCGATGGTATGCTTTACTTTTTTTTTTCCCCAAAAATGGCATGCTTAATGTTTAATTCTCACCAGATTTGGTACTGATGTCTTTTCATGATGCATTAATTATTGAAAGTCTTAAGCAAGCATTAAGCCCATATGCCATACAACTGAATAACAAATCTTCTCTAGCAGTAAGTCGGTGATGTGAGGGTATAGGTTTACCACAAATTGACTATTCTATCTTATTTTATTGTTGTTTATAAGGTAAGAGCTCACTTAGTTGTGTTCGAGTTGATTCTATGCCTTTGGTCTATAGGTGTATTTCCAAATTATATTGTGGTCTTCTAGCACAAAACTTTGGTCCGCTAAACCATGCTACTACTTCAGAATTAGAAATTGTCTCAGTTCAAACAGTAAACATGCATTTGTTTTGAGATTTCTAGCAGTGTGTTGGGAACTAATGTGTTCCTTGTGTTTGAATTGATATGCTGGAATAATCTGCTAAACAACTGCTCTTGTATGATTCTTCCTGTTTTGTAGCTCTGAATGAAGCGCTAAAGAAGGAGGTAGAGAGACTGAAGGTTGCCACTGGTGAAATGATGACACCAGCAGATACGTATAATTTGGGAATGCACCAGATTCCCTACTCTCAATCTTCTTTTTTTGCATCCCCTCCGCAACCTGGCCAAGCTGATGCCCAGAACATGCAAATGCCACAATTTCACCCTTTTCAGTCTCATTTGTCAGCTCCTAATATTGCAAATCCTCATCATCCTCTGCTTTCTAATGCCCATGCACATACATTTTCAGAGATGTTGCAGCAAGATCCACTTGGGCGATTGCAGGGGCTTGATATTAGTAGCAGAGGCTCTCACTTAGTGAAGGCAGAGGGCCCCTCAATTTCTGCTAGTGAAAGCAGCAGTACATTCTGATGTGGCAGCACATATTTTAGTTTTGCTGGTCTAAGCCCTAAACCCACCTTATTTGTTGATTGTCCATAGACTGACCTTGTTTACAACCAATGGTACTATCAGTTCTAATGTGATTGAGATTTTAGGATTTGAGTAGCATTGGCCAGATAAAAAACATTAATGATTTTTTTCCAATATTTGTTTCAAAATTCTATTCATAGGGGGCTGGTGCAGGAATAGAAAGTTGTTCACTAGGAGTAGAGAAATGCATGATATCATGTTGGGTACCCCTATCATGTTGTCTGTTACTGTTGAATGTTGTATTTCTTAGTGAAGAAGATTTCTTCTACTGACCTCAACAGATTCTCTCTCTCTCTCTCTCTCTCTCCTCTCACTTATTAGGGCAGACACATGCATGTGCTCACACACTTGCTCACTTTGGGGCACATGCCAAGTGCACTCAAAAACTCTATTTGCAGTGCCTTTGAGGAACTCTTGTGATGTCTTGGTCTTAACTGAAGGTACCATGTCTAAGGTCATCAATGTCTATTGACAGTTGAAGTTTTTTAAGAACATGTCTGAATGCAGGAAATACGGTTGTTGTTGAACTTGATTTCCTCATTAAAGATATGATAACTCTACCCATACCTTGGTTTTACCCCGGTTCAAAGACTTCTGCCAAAATAATGTAATTTCTTGAAGATGTTAAGGTGGAGACCCCTTATCAGTTTTGCAGGATAGATAAATCATTGTGTAAGTTTAGGCCGATGCACTAAATGAAGCTCTTGGATGCATAACCAAGCAAGGTGTTGGATAAGTCCAACAGGAGCAGGGAAAAGATGTGAGAGAAGCTGCAATTTCTGATTTAGGGTTGTCATATTTTCATCTTTGAATCATTCTGCTGCTGCTTAAGTGCTTATTTTCAAGTATGTTTACTAGTTGCTGGATTACGAGTAGTAACTTCTTGTTCTTCATAATCCTACAATGAACACCCAGACTGTCAACAATGCACAATTGATTATTATCTCTTGCACGGTAGCTTCTGGGCTACAACCATCATTGACTTGGATTACTAACAAGATTCTGGCTCTCTGATCTGCAAACTCTTTAAGCACCTAACAACACAACTGCGTCAAGTGTAAAGCCAAGTTTCTTAAACTGTTTGCTTTGCTCTTTTGAAAGCTGCAACTTCAACTTAATTCCTAACTTTGAGAATTGGGTTCAAGCAAAACCCACGGTTGAAACCGTCGAAACTTGTGAATATTAACATCACCATCAAAGGTAATAATGATTTGAGAAAAAGCGGTCTTCTTTTTGAACTGCCTGCAAACACACTGTTGGATAAGGTACGCAATTTCAGAGGGCAAAGGGCTCCAACCACAACCAAGTTGTTAGCTAATAGGAAGTCATGGGTGGCCTACAGTTAGCCTCTTGAGGCTCAGGCCATTGAATGCACATGGCAAGGTGGTTGCAATGGTGTTGTAAGTAGCCTCTTCAACCAACTGGTCTTTGTCTGTGGCTGCCATGGATGACAAGTGACTGTATTATTATTATTAAGCAACCCAGTTGAACTAACCTCTCTCTCTCTCTGCAAATGGTCCCAATTCCATGTTGCTGGGTGACCTTAGCTCTCAAAATATTGTGGACCTAAACAGACAATCCCTTGTGAATGACACTTACTTTGGTTCCTAACATCTTACCTAATGTGACTCCCAATATATTTTTGGATAAAATCCATTTTCTCTTTTTGTTTATGTGGATCTGATTTAAAGTTTCCTCTACCACTCAGTTGTAAGGGCAAATTTATAAGATTTAATTTAATTTTTTTTCTAACATTCATCACTCAAACTCTGTGTTACTGCATTTTTCACAGGGGTACAATTTTTTGTTGCATATATTTGATGGTAATTGAAATCTCCAAATCAACATTGACCTGATTATAGTCCTTCCCAACAACACAAATCTTTAGAATCATCAAAATATATATATGTATATATGGGGAAAAGAATCACGATATTATATGTGTACATATACTTATATAACAAATATAATATATTGTACAAAGAAGACTAAACACGAGTTCTCTGGTCCACCTCCCTCTCCCTTTGTTGATATACACATATATTCCCTCACCTACAATGTATATATACATATATGTGTGTACACATAAACACATATTATACAAACATTAAAAAGACACTGTTTTGATTACCACAAAAGAAGACAAATTTGAAGATTTGATATTTGATCAAAGAAAAATAATTATATATATATACATATACTATTAAAATATAACTGCATAATTAATTAGTTAACAGACGGAGGTGATACCCATAGCATCTTTATTTCTCATTTGTTTTACTACCATCAGTTCTAATAGATACACACACACACACACACACACAGATATATGTATATATATATATATGTATATGAGTCTGTAATTTAGTACATACATGTAGAATAATATTATAACATCTCATATGCTAATGAAAATGATGCACGAACATTAAGGGACCGTGAAGAGCGGGACATGCATGTGCTCGTAACATGGTAGGCCCTGTCCAAGATCTTCTGATTCTACATCATACATCATACGTACATTTCTCCATCTTATAATTAATTTTGTATTATCCACCTACTTTTTTTTTAATTAATTTCAGATTAATATCGACCCTAATAATCCATTTGTATTAATTTGAATGATTTAACTGTAATTGGATCCTAAGTGTTTGATTAATACAACTTTCGAAGTGTTAAACGTTAATTACTAATGAATCTTTACTCAATACCTCGACAGAAATATTTGATTGGATAAAAGACAAATTAAATTCATGACAAAAAATTTGATTAGAAGTGAGTATTATCCGATTTAGATTAGAAAAACAGATCCGATCAATTAAGTTCGTTTTGATTCAAACTGAATCATACAATGTCTAATTTAGTATTTAGTTCAAAAATTTTTTATCGAGTACAATATGATCTAGATATATTAATATGTTTTAGTATTAAAAAGTAAAATCATAAGTACATAAAGAATATATATGTAGATTATATATAGTATGCAAATAAAATATTAAATATATAAATAATATAATTAAAAATTAAAATTTTTTCAATCTAATTTAATATGATCTTATCTAATTCTAAACCGATGTTTACTCCTAATTACGAAGCCTTAATCCCTTAGATTAGTATGGCTGTGTGTACTGTTTAGATTAACACATTCACATCTTTACATTAATTAGGATCAATAGAATTTCTATGGTTAGCATCCCTAAACCTCTTAATAAACGAGACCAAAATCAAGACAAGTTAGAATCTATCACCCGAGCACTAATCCATTAAGAGGAGGGATGTCATGCATGCCTTTTTTTGAATTATATATTTTTACATGCAATAACATGAATATACATGATGATATATATAGTACACGCAACATGTATGAGTCAAACATAAACTCATATATACGTCAGATTACATAAATACAATCAAGGCTTGAAGTGCGGAAGATTAAGTAGTAGAGTTTACTAGAAAATTTCAGTCCAACTGCTATTTGTACTTTTGAGATGAAAAACAGGGAAGGCTACCAGGTTTGAGTTGAGAAAACCCAAATTCCCCAATCAAACGCCTCAAAGATTTGCGCCATTTCAGGAGATAAACGAATGATTTAAGCCACAAAACTCCATAGTAACACACGACTTCCCAGTCAGCCTTATTGAAAACACAAAACAAAATCAACAATAATATATATATATATATTTATATATGGGTATGTATATGCATATATATATATATATATATGCATGTGCAGGTGGGGGCCATGAGGGCAGCAGTTGGAGGTCTAACCGCAACACTTGCATGTGCCCTTTGAATCCTGTAAATGATCTGAAAATCTCGTCTATATGATCAGATCGTATATATCATCAGTTTTTTTTTTTTTTTTTTTAAATTTTATTATAAAAATGAAAAAAAGTTTGTGGCTTGAGAATCTTCAAACGTTAGATTGCTGTATTACTTTTCCCTCGCCCATTACACCCGTCCACATCTCACCGCTTTACGATCTTTGCCTCTTTACTTCCCTATATATACACACCTACATACACCCTCTTCTGTACTCAAATCTTCTTCTTCAACTGCCTCTTCTCTCTTCTTTTTCTTCTTCTTCTTCTTTACTCTCCAATTCACGAAAAGACAACAACAATGGAAAACATTTCAGCATTCTCCATGGTGTCTCTTCTCTTTGTCCTGCTAATCAACTCAGGTCTCCCCGTGGCTTATGCTGACTATGGAGGCTGGACAAGTGGCCATGCCACATTCTATGGTGGTGGTGATGCATCCGGCACCATGGGTATGTTTTATATTTCATAAATATCATTACCGTCTTTCTATCAGAAACCTCTTATCATCTATATTTTCACAATTCTACAAAAAAGAAAGTGTTTTTTTTTTTTTTTTTTTTTCTTTTAGAACATTTGGTATGAAGAATAAATTGCAAAAGTGATGTATTCGTTTAACTCTGCCCAAGGAATAGCTAGGTTTTTAATGTTTAATTTAGGTGGGTTTGTTATGGTGTGTTGCAGGAGGAGCATGTGGGTATGGCAACTTATACAGCCAAGGGTATGGGACTAACACTGCAGCACTCAGCACAGCTCTGTTCAACAATGGTCTAAGCTGTGGAGCTTGTTATGAGATGAGATGTGATAATGATCCTAAATGGTGTCTTCCTGGAACCATAACTGTTACCGCTACCAATTTCTGCCCTCCTAACTTTGCCTTGTCCAATGATAATGGTGGTTGGTGCAATCCTCCTCTCCAGCATTTTGACTTGGCTGAGCCTGCCTTCTTGCAAATTGCTCAGTACAGAGCTGGAATTGTCCCAGTATCTTTCCGAAGGTAATTAACTAGTTCATTCTCACCAAATACACAGACTCATTTCCAGATTTTCAAAATTAGAAAGTTTTGTTCAATTAATTGATGAAAGTCACATCCTTTAAAGCTTTTATCCATTTTTAGATAAACTTGCAGGACCCACGGGGTTAAAACAAAAAGGGTCACTTTTTTGTGTCAATCCATTGATAAAAACCACAGCTTTTTTTATACTATACACCCTTTAAAGCCCTAATCCATTACAACTAAACAAAACCCAAGTCCTGAAAATAGAACTAGTATCCATAAATGTATAAAGTTAGAAGCTTTTGATAAAGACACAGTCTTTAACATCGTTATTTCTTTCTTGGGTGAAAAAACAGGGTATCCTGTGGGAAGAAAGGAGGAATAAGGTTCACCATCAATGGCCACTCTTACTTCAACTTGGTATTGGTGACAAACGTTGGAGGAGCAGGAGATGTTCACTCAGTTTCAATCAAAGGGTCCAAGACTAACTGGCAATCCATGTCAAGAAACTGGGGCCAAAACTGGCAGAGCAACTCATACCTCAATGGCCAAAGCCTCTCTTTTCAGGTCACCACCAGCGATGGCCGAACTATGACAAGCTACAACCTTGTCCCTGCAAATTGGCAATTTGGGCAAACATTTGAGGGTGGTCAGTTTTAGATTTTGATTTCTTTTCTTTTCTTTTCTTTTCTTTTTTTAAAGAGCAACGAGACCAAACAAGAATGGCTTTTTTCATTTGATTTGTTTGAGAGTTTTGTATATTGTGATGTGCCATTGTTTATGACACTAAGAAAGGGGAAGGTATGAGGGAGAAGAGATAGAAGAGTAGGGTAGGCTTAAAAAAGTCCCACAGGAACTATCTACTGCTGAGGTGCCTTATTTGGCACCCGCTAAGCCTTTACATATATATGCTTGTTTAGGGTTTGCCAACTATATTATAGTTAGCTACTCGTATTATTTGCTTTCTTCATGGCTTATTGGCCCAAATATCAATTAGCCAAGTTGGTATATTCTTGTGTAATCCAAACTGGTGAAGCTTCTTGTAACTTTCGATAATCAATCAAGAAACTATTTCTGAGAGCATTTTGTAAGCGCAAAAATTTAAATACTAAATAAAATTTTTTTTTTTAATATTGTACAAATAAATGTTTATGTAAAATTAAAAAAGAAATTGATATACTTAAAATATCGTAAATTTTAAAAGATTAACTAATTTTTTATTTTAAAATATTCAAGTTAGTTTTTATATTATATTTTTTAATTTTAATTTATATATATTTTAAAAAATTTAACTTGATATCTCATTGTTAATATATATTAATAAAAACTCTTATGACCTATTCTAACATTTGTCAATTTTCGATTTGGTCAATATTCATATTAAATATTAGGTATATGTTTATGTAATATTTGACATTGAAGAAAATTAATTTTTAAACTATTCTTTGATAAAAAATTAAAAAAAATAAGAAACATTAAAAAAGAAATACTTAGCCCACAGATAACGGCTTTGATTCGGATTATGGTAGTTGTCGTTGTCTACGAGCAAAGTACTTTTTTTTAAATATTTTTTAATAAAAAGTACATAAAAATTAATTATTTTTTATATTAATAAATAAATAATATTTATCAAAAATAATAATTTAATTAAAATATGATATATGCTTAATTCTACATGGTACTTTCATTAATGGTATTAATAATAATTATAAATTAAATTAAATTAAAAATATATTAATTAAAATTAAAAAGACTGATATTTAAATCAATTGAAATATTTTAAAATATTACATAAACAATTTAGTATTTTGACCTTTCTTAATCTATTTCCATTACAGTTCATCTAATTCAAGTTTTACTGCTAAGAAAATTGATTATTACTCAAAGGATTATTGGCTGTTGTTTAGGGAGGACATCCACATAGGCAGGAGAATACCGAGTTGCCTACCGAGGTAAACTCAGTTAGTGAGTCGAAGCGGTACTCATGCATTCGCAGCCGGTCCATCAGAGTACTGATTAGCCGATTCGCCACCTTTCCAATAACCAATCAAACTACAAATGCCTCTGTGTTGTAGATTTTTTGGATCACAGGGACTCATTAGACCTATCATTTCCGCCTCTCCTTCTCTCACCTCCCAACCAAAACCACCTGCCACCCATCTTCCATTTCTCGGCAACCATCATCCTCTTCTTCAGAATACCCTCAAACCCTCATCTTTTTCGCCGTCACCGAGCATTTCCCAATTGAAAAGTTCCGGCCTTGCCAGGTTCTCAACGATGTCTTTTGGGGGAGGAGGCAGTGGTAGTGATGCTCACTTCAACTTGTCTGAATCCACCATCCTGAAGATCCTCAAAGGGGATATCACTAAGTGGTCTATTGATGGATCCTCTGATGCTATTGTCCGTGGTTTTCTCTCTAATTCTTTTTTGGATGTTTTTCAATTTTGATAGTAATTTTGGAATTATCAGTTTGGAGCTTGTTGCTTTGGAATTTTTTTTATTTTTATTTTTATGGCCAATCTCATCGGGAAGACCTAGGATGTAAAGATCATACCATGAGTTATTCGGCAGATTTGGATTCCTATATATCCACTCTTGTGGTACTTCATTAAGCGAGATATATAAGATCCATCTGTATAGATATCATCATCTACATCCAGAAAGCCGTATGCTTTGGAAGAAGCTCGTACAGTTTGGGATCTTTTAGTTTTAATGCTTATGAAGACCGCTGTATTAGACTAGGGATTATTCATGAATCTTTTGGTTGTCTATCAATGGCTAAATTTAAAAATCCAGCATTTTCTTCTTTTAGTAATCTTCATCAAACATAAAATATTGTCTTGTTTAATTAATTCCCTCATGATCTTATCAATGTCACATCTTTTTCTTAATCAAGCAATTAACTTTACTCACAGTGCTTCTGTCTCTTTGAACGAAATTGTAGATTGAGCATAATAAGTAATTTTGACTCCGCAACACTTAGGGTTTGGTTGGTTGGAAAGAGAAAGAAGAATGAGTTCATTTGTATTCTGATTCTACCTTCATAGAATACTGTTGGATTCTATGACTTGAGCCCATGCGGACATTAAAAATGAAGTGAAGCCACCAAAATTATGTGCTATTATTATTTACTTTGTGTGAACAATATATTCATATTGTATTGGCTAAATCCTATGCTTTTGCAGGTAAATCCAGCAAATGAACAAATGCTTGGAGGTGGTGGCGCAGATGGAGGTACTTTATCTTCCTGTCTTGTTAAATTGCTTTCTTACAGAAGTGAACTTGTAATAATCTTTTCTTGCATCCTTGTTAGCAATTCATAGGGCTGCTGGACCAGAACTCAGGGAGGCATGCTACAAAGTCCCACAAGTTCGGCCCACTATACGCTGCCCCACTGGAGAAGCAAGAATTACCCTGTATGTTCTTTAGCCTTTAGTTTTTGTTAGGAGGTTGTTTTCCCCAGTTCATGTATGATTAGCATGCTAATAGAGATCTTGCAGAGGTTTTAAGTTGCCAGCATCTCATGTGATCCACACTGTTGGTCCTATCTATGATGCTCGTAGTAATGCTGAAGCATCCCTGAGAAGTGCATATAGGTAGCTTTTGGTTGCTTCGTTCCTGTGTTCCATTTATTAGTTTGCCTTCTCATTCTAAACAAGGTCTTCCTTGTTTGTTTATTACAGGAATAGCCTGAGAGTAGCCAAGGAGAACAACATTCAATACATTGCTTTCACTGCCATCTCTTGTGGTGTTTATGGGTAGGTTGACTATGTAGAAAGGCCATAAAATTGTGCTAGAAAATAGATAGTGTTCAAGTATAAGATATATGCTAGTCCATTATCTCTCATTCATAGAATTACTGATTGCCGACAGCTCTTACTCTATCCTTGACAGAATCTCAGTATTCAATTCTTCTTGATTAAGTGTCTTTAGAACCTTAATGATCCCTTTTTCTGTTTAAATTTGTTGCAGCTATCCTTTTGATGAGGCTGCAACAGTAGCTATATCTACAGTGAAAGAATTTGCAAATGACTTCAAGGAGGTAATATGTACTTCAGTTTGCTTCATGACATACCAGCCTAGGTTTAAACTGATATTCATAATTTAATGTTACTGTAGTAATAGCTTTGCAATCTTGGATAATGTTAATATGATTAACTAATAGAAACCTAAGTCCCTATGAAGAATTTAGGCCAAGATGACTAGATGTTCATCCTGCTGATATTCATCACATTTGGATATAGATATTCATTTGATCAGTTTCTACTTTTACATAATTATTTTTTCTTAATCATCTTAGGTTTTGCAAAGCTTCTTACTTTCTACTTAGACTTTAACTTTTCACATACCCCATCAACTGAACTTTATCAAAACCATTTTTCCGGATGGGGCTCCTGGTAGATGGTGCTGTATGTGTTGTAGGCTTGTAGATCCCAACAAACCTGCTTACCTGCAATTTCTGCTGTGTAGCAAATCTATTCCTATTTGTAATCATTGGGTTTCTTTGGTGTTATAAAGTCTCCATATGATGCATAGTCTCTGTATAATCCATTATCTTATCCTGCTCGTTAGTGAGGATATCATCCATGGCTGTTTTACAGGTGCACTTTGTTCTGTTCTCGGATGAGATTTACGATGTCTGGGTGAGCAAGGCAAAGGAATTGCTCCAAGGGTAGTGTGGTATAGCTAATAGTTATTATGGCCATATGTATATGTTCTGATCTTTGACGTGGATGAGTTTGAATGTAATGCAAAGCTGGAATTGGAGAGTTATATTGGATCTTGTTGTCTTTGCCTATTGATAATCTATTCATGCTGCTTGTCAAACATCTTAAATCCTTGAAGTAGTCAGTAAGTTGCAGTTGAGGCCTGCTTTAATCTCGGACTAAATGTGCCTATCATGCAGCTGGCCTACAGTGAAATGGCTTCTCCATCATGCTCAATATTGCAGGAGAACATAAGTTTTTTGGTCAGACATTGTTTTAGGTCTTAGTTTGTGGAATTTGACAGTTTTGATTACCATTTGTTTCTTCTCAAGGGTGCAGTTTTCATTACCGTTATCATTGGTTGATCAGTAATTGTGTGATTCACCTTGACTTGAAATTTACCATACAGAGATAAAACTATGGAGGGTCCAAGGCTAGTAACTATTTAAAGTTTAGCAATGAGAAAGAATCCCAGCAGCATATTGACACCCTATTTTGTGGCTAGAAGCACAGAATTACGGATTGCCACATTCCATCCATTTAGTTTGCATTTAACTTAAAATAATGCCGTTACACACTCCAAAAAGAAAGGCAAACTGTTGAAGATCTTCAAGAATCAATAATAAAGGAAACCTTGTTAGGAAAATTTGATAATTGCATGTTCTATAAGCCAACAAATATTTTCCCCACCTTCATTCTGATAAGTAAACAAGCTTATTAGCCTACTTTTACATTAAACAAACTCCGTGTAATAACCAATTTTGACTAAAGTGAACATACACAAGAATGCAAATCTTCATACAAACAAGCTGCCTCTCATTGATGATTCTACAAGATTATGAAACCTCAAAACAGCTCGATATTCCAATTAAGCATTTGCAAATAATCTGTATGAAATCTGTCACACTAGGCATTTTTGTCCCTGGATAGAGTCCGTGGAATTCTTCCAATGACACTATCATCCACTACTTTGTAGTGATGAGAGAATTTTCTTTGGATCATCCCACAATATTTGTCCACACGCTCTTCGTATTTGCTGTACAATGCAGGAAGTGTAATTGACAAAATAGCTCCTGCAACCATGGCAGGCACAAAAAAGTGAGCATCGTAATGGATAGTTTTATGTTCAACATGCTTAAGATTAAATGAAAATCCAGCTATGGGACTTATATTTTTAGACAGTAATATGATTGCAAAAGGCTCCCAAAAGGAACATAAATATAGAAAAGAGTTTCAGAGAGTGAAGTAATTCAACAGAATCATTATCAGGCTATTCTAATTTTTTCGAACACAAGTTCCTAGACTTTTTCCAGAGCCCAAGCCTTTAACCCCTTACCATACAAAGGGAGGCCTGATGTAATTCCAATCAAACAATCAAATGATTATAATGTTATACAAATAAAACTATGTGAAACAAAAGGGAATCAAACATGCATTTAGTTGACTATTGATGAAGTTGCATACCGATATAGGCAAGTGTGAAGAAGGAAAAATAGCTACCAATGGCAGACAGTAGCCACAGACAAACCACAACCTGCCATAAATATATTTTACTTTGAAAATGTTATTACCAAAAAAAAAAAAAAAAAGAAAACAGATCAGAAAAGTTAACCAAATAACTTTGAAAATGTTTACACAGAAAATAAACGTTAGCAGAGAATATTATAATTCCTATTGTCATGGGCAACACCAACCCGAATCAGTTCACTGGGCAGATGTATGTGGGTGGGATCCACAGGAAGAAGTGTCCTGAAGTGGGTTGATTTTTTTATTTACTACAATTCTATTTAAGTTTAAATGTACTTCCACAATAAGATCATCATAGTTTCAGTTTATCTAGGCAACGTTTAGATTAGGTTATCTTTAAACAAACTTTGATAAGATTAATCTGATTCTAGAAAGTAGGAGCTGGGATTATGGCTTCCTCTATATATGTGGCTACAGCAATTATGAATAAAGCATATGAACATCAAAGCTATTACGAGCAGTCTCAAGAGACTGAGGGTTTTCTCAAATGAGCCCTAAGTTATCACCAGCTGCAGCAATGTCTCACTTTAGTCTCCTTAGATCCTCTACCCTACCACATTGCATGGATGAAGTAGGTATTCTTAGAGATTGATGCTACACTAACCTTAAAGAAAAGTCGGAAATCTTTACCAAGAGTTATGTCATGAGCCATAAGAAGCAGATTATTAACTTTAGCACGAAATGATGCTGAGGCATTATTAACCATTTCCTCTGACAGAGCTAGCTCTGGCAACGATTGTAGTTGTCTGCAAAGGTAGAAACAGAAACCATAACAGTTAAAAACAGTCTTGCTGATTAGGTATACGAAAAACATGAAATTGATATGTGTATGGGGAAGATGCAAATACTTATTTCTCAAAGCAGCATAGTTGGCGCGAACAAACAACATTATGATCAAAATCAGCAACACATCTGAACATATTGTTAAGAATGGCAATCCCGATCTCTCAAATATGAACCAAGCAACAGTAGCAATAACTAGAATGCCTAGAGAGAAATGCCACTGCTTCCACAGGAGTAAATCAGCAGCTATGGTGAATAAAAAGAAGAAAAAAAGAGCTAATATTTGTTAAACAGCATTCACATGAAAAATACAAGAATATCATACACTAGCAACAAGTTCAAAACTTTGATAAATTACTACAAGCATAGATGAAGTATGAACTGAATTAGTACATAATGGCAATATATAAATGCCAGCTCTACACTACACTCAAATCCAGCAGAGTCCTCGTCTCAATCAATCTATATTGGCCTCAAGAATGTTGGCAAATATGATAAACAACTTTTAAGCCACAAAAATGTTGAAAAGCCAACTCCAAAAACCAGAAGAAATGACCGGGCTCTTCTCCAAGTTTATAGCAACTAGGCATTTTGCGTTAATATCTCCTAATAACATCTCAGTCATCAAACTTCTCCAATCTTCAAATACACAACCCAAAATTGTTAATCTATGTGATACAACTAATCCCCAAGTCCTATCTCTCAAACTCTTCAACTTTCCCTCTAGACACTTTTCTGGTTAATTTATGTAAATTGTAAACAAGTATTATAGCCAGGGCAAGTCAAATTGTGTGCTCAAGTTTTTTGTGACCCAAAAAAGAAAAAGAAAAATCAAATCTTGATTAGAAAGTATTACGACAAAATTGCCACAACCATTTTCAGGTCAGAAATTTTTTCCTCCTGTTATCACCAAATAAATAAAAATTGACAGCATGAACATGCAATTTACAAACCTCTTGAATTCTTAAAAGGGTAAAACCAATTGTTTTATGTACAAAACAATCTTACCAACATAGAACATTTCATCCAATAAAGTTCACACCTTTCAGCATCCACACAAAAGCAAAACAGAGAAAAATTTCACCTTTACCGCCACCCATAAACTGGTGAACTGTAACTTGTCGATCAAATAATCCATAACCCGAAGTAGACGCTGCCTCATTTCTTCCATCTCCATCCTCCTCTATACCATTTGAATTTTCCATCAATTTTCACTTCCTGATACACACCCGTTTATAGACATTATCACACCGAGTCTGTAACAAATTCTAATTAAAAGAATCGAAAAATAAAAGCTGACCTTTTTAAAGCGAGACTGCACAACCCTCGATCGCCGACGACGACGGGAGAAGAGAGAACGGGTTTTCCTTTCACAAGTATAGGATCTGCAGCAACTGCAGGGAAATTGCTGTCCTTTGTCGATGATTGGCTGGGATCAGGTGCTTCGCAGTTTATAGTTCACGCTTGGACTTCTGAATCGTTTATCACATTCACCAATGTACTAAATAATAATAATAACAATTTTGCGGGGAGAAAAAAAGAAATTTTGAAAATTAGATTGAAAAATATTTAATTTTAGTGCATTTATATTTACTTTCCTGTTGTTTTATTTTAATTTTTATTTAACATATATGTAATTATGTATTGAAATATGATTTTATTATTTTTAAAAAATCTATTAAAAAATTTATATTATTAATGATTAAATTGAATAACTAACTTATCTTCTCTAAAAATATTATAAAATAATAATTAATTTTGAAAAAGGTTCAATAATATATCATTCACTAATTAGCAAAAATAATAATTTAGTTTATGTATTGTTAATTTTTATTTAATTTCTCATCAATATTAAGTGTTATTATTATTAATTTTAGTATCATAATATGTGAAATTTTTTAAGTAGTTATTATATAAATAAATATTACATTCAAATATGATCTGATATTTTTTTTAAATATTAATCTGTTTAAATTAATTTACAAATTTTAAAAAAAATGAAAAATATCATCTAAATTATCATCAAGGAGTGACCAAATAATTTTTTTTTTTAAAAAAATATATAAAAAATTATTTGAGAAAAAAATTGAAAAAAAAAAAACAATTATATAAATATACAGACCAAACCAGTATTTTTTACTTTTGTTAATTTGCTAATGCAGGCGTCATCTTCTTTCATGTCACTGGATATCTCTTAATCACGGGTAATCATTGTTCACCAAACTAGGAAAAGGAAACTCGGTCAAGAGTTTCGTCTCACTTCTCTGCGTTACAGGTAGGGCTGAGTGCCTCCCTACTCACTCCACTTTGGTGTATACTTCTGTGAATTACGTCCTTCTTTTTGCTTTTTCATTGAAAAAAATATGACCTTTAGCTCATGTCACTTATCTGGTTGGAGGAGAGAACTGAAAAGAAACGAGGAAATGACCATGAGTTTGATTGTAATGGGGCAACCAGTCTTAGAGATGGACATTTCGGCGGGATTTTCCTTTGTGTCGCAGGAAACTGTGTTTTCGAAGCTCACTGGGTTTCCGTTGTGGTGAGATTTACTCTCTCCCTTTATATTTAAGTACCTAAATACGTAGCAAAGTAGTGTTTTTCTTCTTGGCGAAGATCACATTTGAGAACTTCATCCGGTACTTTTTCGTTGTTAATGGGCCAGTTCAATTCAAAATCTGTTGTTATATCCTCCATGGCAGTATGCACCGGTAATGGAGCATAGAACTTCACCCTTTAGGCTTTTTTGGATTAACTTTTTCTTGTTTTGCCTCTTGCCAGTACCTTCATACTAGAAATGCAATATGTAGTTGAAAATATGAGAGATTTTGATGGTATAAGTCATAAATTTCAGTCTTCTTTGGGAGATTAGAGAAAAACATTAGTTATTGTGAACGATGATTACCCTTTTCTATTGTGAATTTCCTTCTTAAATGGGGAGCTAGATTTATACTTTACATCGTCTAATCTGCCGGCACATATGTCCAAAGAAAATTATCTATTACTGATGGTAATGGCAGTCTTTACGAGATCTTGAGTGGAAATCTTGGCATTTGATTCTTTTGGTCTTATAGATGCTGTGGACATTATATTCTCAGCATAATTTGATTATCTGCTGCTTTAAGCATCCCCCAGAATAAGGATTTTGAGCTACTTATTTCGGTTTATGGCCGGGATGTTTAGTCCAACAGTTTTCAATTGATATAAATTCTCGGTGATCCTTATTAAGAGATTGAATTTAGACTTGGGACGCTAATACCTTCATCTGTATGAGGGTTAGTTAGACATTCCTGGTTGCAAGCTTAAGAAGTTAATCTCTATCATAGTTCGTTTTTGGATCTACCGTTTTGCTAGGTTGGTTTGCCCTTCTATTCTCAAAATATTGACTTTATGGAAAGTGCACACATCACCTTCAGTGCCAACTGCTAACATGTGCCCTTCCCTGAACCCTTGAACAATGACATGTCAATTTTTTGTCGTATGTGGGATCGGTTACTAACTAGTGAAAATATATTTTCTTGCAAAATATGTAGTGATAGTAAGTTCTCGACTTCCTGGGATTACCATAAGATACAAAACTTTTTCTTGTTCGTTCCTTTGATTTGTTACTGATCCTACATATTGCAGGTTTTCATTGTTTATTCTGCTTGATCCTTCTCTTGTTCATTTTAAGCGCAGTCCCTATGATCAGAAAAGACACCCTGTAGCCTCAAACACATTTGAGAGTGCAACTATCATAGTCTTTTATCTTTCCGGGATCAGCATATAAATACTAAAGACCAGCATGACTTTTCCAGGTACTAGCAACTATTCTTGCTATTGTTTTTTTCCTTTTTGTGTGTGTGTTTCTCAGTATGCTAAACAATAACTGTTAACAACTTCGTGAAACTTTGCTTGGTGTGCTGCCTTTCTTAGTGATTCCAGGCTAGTTAAGGTTAAAACTGCATCATTATGAATTTATAAAAAAAGTTCATGCACGGGGAGTCCAAAATGTTTATTGATTTATGCTAACTAGATAAGCAGATAGAACGGTACACCCTTAAAACAAAGACCAAAACAGATGTCAAAGTTTACAAAAGAAGCTTCTGTTGCTCTAGTCTAGACTGTTTGGTCTCATATGGAAGGAGTTCACTGTTGTGACTACTGGAGATCAAGGATCAAGTAAGAAGATTAGCTTCTAGATCGTTTTCGTTATCCTCGTTGACCTGAGTTAACTCCTTAGCCCTCTTAGCTTGGTAGTCCCAGTCTGTGAAAACCAGAGTACAGACCATCATGCACACACATGAAGCTTGTGCTGCAGCAAGCCCAAACCACAATCCCAGGAAATCCTTCTCTAATTTGAATGCCATGAGAGCTGCAACTGGTAAACCAATTAGATAGAAAGAACTGAAATTTATGCAAGCACCCACCTTAGGCCGGGCAGAGCCTAATAGTACTCCACATGCAGCTGTCTGGGGACAATTACTAGCTCACAAAAGCCTAGTATAGGTAGTGCAACGGATGTCAAGGCAAGTACTTGTTTCTCACTTGTATACAGCATTCCCCACACATCTCTTACTGCTAGTGTGAACCCAAAATTCAGAAGTCCACAAACTATTGCTATGAGTAGTCCAGTTTTGGTTGTCTGCTTAGCCTGTGCTGGCAGCTCAGCGCCTAACTCTTGGCCAACGAGTGTTGACAAACCCAAGCGTAAAGAGTAAGGAAACACATAGAGTAATCCTGTTGTTTGAGTTAGGATTCCCATTGCTGCCACACTTGCCTGTGGATTACTAAGGAGACCACATAAAAGTAGCATTATCTCATACCACCACCATTCTAGACAAACTGAGAAAACACTTGGAACCATGAGGGCCAGCAATGGCTGCCAACCTTGAGAGCATTGGGCCTCTGGCTGTGAATTCCAAGGTTTTAGTGCTTTGCTTGAGAGGATGAGATATATAAATAGACCAAAGTTTATGTTTAATGTGTTCCAAGCAGAGGCCAGGGCAACACCCTTAACCCCCAAACGTAAATGTACCACAAGAAAGTAATTGATAAAAGGATGGAGGATCATTGCACAAACTGCTGATATGGTCAAGGGTTTAGTTAGACTTTGAGTCCTTAAGAAAATCCTTAAGGGCTGGAGGTGAGCTTGGGCTAACAATTCAGGAATTGAGTACATTACATATACCTGGGCAACTGATGTAATATTTTGATCTTGACCAAGCCATAGAAGGATAGCCTCCATTGATAACCACAATAGCGAGATTGGAATAGCTGCAATTAGTAAAAGGAATACAGTCCTTTTGTAAGTTTGGCTAAGAACTGCCCACCTTCTTGCGCCATATGCTTGGGAACATACAGGTTCCATTGCCATAGCTAGCCCCTTAATGACAGAATAGCCTGTAATGTTTGCAAAGCCAATCGAAAGCGAACCCCCTGCTAATTCAATGTCCCCTAAATATCCTAAGAAGAGCATGGAGACAATTGACTTGGAGAATAAAAGCAGGCTTGTCATCAATATGGGGATTGTAATTTTTCCTATCGCCGTTAACTTCTCCGCCATCTGTGTCAAAATCATACATGGAATGTTAAAAATTTCTAAATCAAGAACATAAATTGCATAATCTAGGTAACAAAACATAGTAGTCTGTTTGGAATATGGGACAGACTGGATATACCATTGTGCTTGAGAGGTCACACCACGAAAAGAAGATTTCTTCTGTTGGTTGCTTAGGAGGATAGAATTCCTTTGACTTCTCTAAGAAATGAAGGTCAGGTACAAAAAGCAAGGATGGAAGAAAATGGAGTTTAGCTTCTTTCTTCGACTTTAAGAATTTCACCCAAAATTTTCTTACGCTCCTTCATTCACTCATGCTTCAAATTGAAACATATCCTTGAAACCCTATTTTGATTCTTGAGAGGCTAGAAACCCAGGACAAAGAAAAAGTTTGATTTCCCTTGCAGGTTTTGGACTACAAGATACAAAAATAACGTTCGGACAAATAAAATTTGGACTCGAGACTATGGTTGACAGCTGTGCTGCTATGTGTTTGTATTGCAGGGCTTCGATATTTATGACTAAATTGACTGATCTCCTCAAGTTTATGTTAGCACTTTAACATATATGCTATGGCTTTCCTTTCCTTCCAAGTATGAAGATTTTTTGGGGAAGCTGATTAAATTACGTATCATTTCTATTATTTACTGAGGTCTGTCCCTTCTTTTTGACAAATTCGACCAAGGAAAAACAAGATATCTTACCTTGTTTGCTAACCTGGTGATATTCTTATCGTTAAAATTTTTATTCATTCTCCTTAGTTTCTTTCTTTGTGTGATCATATCTCATTTCTAACCGTCTTTCCTTTTACTCATAATGCTACCTAGTTATCATAAAATCATAGTCCTTAATTGATTGATAGGTTACAATGCATCCTGAAATTTCAAGACACTATTAAATACTTAATTTTCTCTTTGATTATGGCAGTGGTGTTTGCCTTTTTTCGCTGTAGACCAATATGGTAATTCGGACACAATAGCATCCTCACAAACGATTGTTGAACAACTAAGACCATGAATTTCTCACATGCCACTCATTGATCACATGGTTGAATGTAATAAGTATTTCTTTTTGTTGCCTTGGCTATTCAATGTTATCGTAGTAATTTATACTAAATTGTTTACCATTTCTTTTTCTTTTTTTTTTTTGAAATAACTAAATTGTTTACCTATTAATGATTTCACTAAGATATTCAGATTATATTTAGGGAGAGATTTAGTTTTTCATTGACAGATTGTTTGATGACTACTGTTGATTTTGTTGTTTTCTGCATTACAGAATAATTTTTTTTTTCTTTGATAATAGAGAAATAAGATGACGTATTCTTGCAAAACTATTGCCACAATCTGCTGATTTTTTGGTCACTAATCTCACATGTCCAAATGAAGCAATGACAGAAAATATGGTTCAGGAAAGATGTACCTGGTTTGCGGGAGCAGGCAATTTCTTTGCTTGGGAATTTTCAAACCAGAATTAATCACATTTTTTTACTTCCCAAGTGAGACCTGCATTTTGTAAACAGAGGATATCCAATTTAGAATGTCTAGACAAACAGAAGGCATTCTGGAGCCACTATTTCCCTCTAGCAAAAGGTAAGACTCCTCTTGATCTCTCTTTCTCTCGCTGTTGGATGCCATTATGAGCTCCAATGGTTCCTTGCAAAAATCTGGACATGATATTTATGCTTCAGTATCCTGCATTTAGAGATTAAAAATGAGTGAGTAGAATGTGCATATGAATGCTCTCTCTTCCATGAAATGGTATCCATTTGCCTGTCTATACTTAAGCAAATCGAGATTGTGCTTCTCAATCTGTAATTGTTCTTTCCTTTTAATAGTGGTAATACTCACATTCCCATTTGATCTGCATGAAGAGTACCTCTGATAGCTTCGCCCAGAAGTTTCAATTCATTTAACTAAATCTAAAGTATTTGTTGCCAGACGAGCTGAATGCAGAGAACAGAGTGAAAGCAGAGAGAGAAACTAACCTTCATCTTCCACAGCCACTCTATTGAAGTTCGTTAATGAACCTTCTTCCTGTCGTCACACTCTTCTGACATTCTTATCTCCGGTTTTGGAAGACCATACGATGAAAGTGCCAGAAATCTACCTGAGATGAACATTGTGAAGGATATATGAGATGTATCTATAAAAGTCAATGAGATTAACTTGTTGCATTGCCATGCATTTATACAGGAGAATTGTGGATTAAACTAAGGAGTGAGCTTAGAATTTTCAAACTGGTTCTTGTCACATCCCATACTGGCTGAGCTGTCTTAGGTTTTAGATTCTGTGTACTTTGGAAGTATTGAAACAGAGAAAGGGTGAAAGTGTTGCATTCGAGGAAAGAAAACGAAATCAGAACAAGAGAAACAACAAAGTTCTCATTACCCCAGACAGTGGTCTTTGGAATGTGATGAAACAAGATAACATATTAAAAGGAAAAAGTTAGAAACTTGGACTTAAACCCTGTAATTTTCCTCCATAATAAGCCAAAAGTTTACTAATCTAGGCGTTTAAGAAGAAGACATGAGCTGGGCATATATCACATGTGTTTCTTCCCTTTGTATAAGCCTCTTCTCTGAGTTCTGAGTCTTTAATTCGTGATCCAAATTTCATACCTTGCAATTAACTAATAATAATTTGACTTCAAAACATATTACATTTCATCAATGATGCAATAACTATACACTGAGTAGTTTAAAATGGTAGATGAGACTCAGAAACTGAGTTGATAAAGGTAATCGGTGAAAAATAAGACTTAAACTCAGAGTCATTAATCTTTTAATGAAAGTATTATGTCATATGAATATGGGCTCGGATTCATTTTACAGACTTTACAAGCCAAATTCTTTTTTATTTCTTGAGCCACCAATTTATACTTTCATTACACCAATATATATATACACATACATCCATATATATATTAAAAAGAGAAAACGTTATGCTGCTGACGGGGAAGGTCGAAACGTGGCGCAAAGCGGCGGGTCTGCTGGTGCAACTGCCACGCGCGCCCCCAGATTCTTCCCTTCTCTGCCTCCTGTCACTTCCTCAAACTAAAACCCCCCACGTATAAAACCCCACCGCTCTCACTCCCATCGCCTTCTCCGTCCATTTCCCTTCTCTTTCAACACAAGATTTTTTACTGGTAAGTCATCTTCAATGGCACTGCGCAGTCTCGCCGCTAGAAAAACCTTAGGGTGGGCCACTACCCAGTTCAACCTCCAGGTCGTTCGTAGCGTTCATTCTTTCACCCTCCCCGATCTTCCTTACGACTACAGCGCGCTGGAGCCGGTGATCAGTGCAGAGATCATGCAGCTGCATCATCAGAAGCATCACAAAACTTACGTCACTAACTTCAACAAGGCTCTCGAGCAGCTTGATGCCGCCCTCGCCAATGGCGATTCCTCCTCTGTTGTTCGCTTGCAGAACGACATCAAATTCAATGGCGGAGGTTCACTTATTCTACCATATGTTTTATTGATCTATCAAGTTTTCTTTTTTTTTATTTGAATGTTGGTGGGAATTGGGTAAAGATGATAACTTTTTATTATTTATTATTCATCTTAAACATTTCTTATGCTGATGGATAGCTTATGGTCTGAGTAGTAAATAGGGCTGTCAGAGTTAGGCATTATTTGTTTATGTCGAATTACCATCTCAAAAGAAAATTAGTTGATAAGAGTTTATTCACATTTGATTCAGGTCATATCAACCACTCAATTTTCTGGAAGAATCTCTCTCCTGTTCATGTAAGTTCCTACTTATAAGTCTTTCTTGATATCTCTCTATTATCTCTCATATCATTGAAGTGACCTTATGCTGCATTCATGGCAGGAAGGGGGAGGCGAGCCACCGAAAGGTTCCCTTGGCTGGGCTGTTGACGAACATTTTGGTTCTTTTGAAGCATTGGTACAGAAAATGAATGCTGAAGGTGCTCTGTTGCAGGGTTCTGGATGGGTGGTAGGAAATTCAGCTTCTTGAGGTTTCCATATCTGATCATTATTGAGTTTTATCAGTCAATCTTTATTTTGCTATCTTCGTTTTCTTCTTTTTTATTATATAATTTGCTCTTTACTTAAATCATTGGTAGTGGCTCGGGTTGGACAAGGACTTGAAGAGGCTCGTGGTTGAAACAACAGCAAATCAGGTATTCGCCATAGTGAATGTTAGCTTCTGATGTGTCTCCCATGATTAGGGATGAATGAAGTTATAGGATCTTAGATTATAACTCTTGGCCCCTGTTGATTGTGGCAATGGTGCTGCTAGAGACTTGAGCATTTTGCGGATCTCAATATCCTATTACTCAGAATTCCGATACCTATGACACTTAGAGAACTGCCCAGCTTGATAATATGAACTTCCATTGCAGGACCCACTAGTATCTAAGGGAGCGCATTTGGTTCCTTTGCTTGGGTTAGATGTTTGGGAGCATGCCTATTATTTACAGGTAAACATTCAGTTCTTGAGTCATTCATACGATTACTGTTAGATGCGGTGGCCTGGGGGGTTTGTTATGTATCGATATTGCAATCAATGTTATCAGCGTCGGTTTTGATTGCTTGTTTTTTTAATGATATTTGATGTCACGAGAGCTTTTGATCACCATCCGAGGCTAGCTGGTTTAACAATGGCTGCTGTGATATGATTAATTTAAAAGGTTTGTTCCGAGTAATACAGATTGAGAATCTTTTGTTCCTTGATTCCGGAGATGGCAGAAAAGGGATGTCAGAACCAAACGAAATGCTCGTTTTTAGCTTCTTCCATTGTGATTTTGATTTTTATTCCCTGCATCTGTTCCTTCTCTAAACCATCTGGCAACAGTAGAATCTGTTGTATTCACAACTGATGTCTTTGCTTTCTTCCTCGCTGCAGTACAAGAATGAGAAGGCAAATTACTTGAAGAACATATGGAATGTGGTTAACTGGAAATATTCAAGCGAACTGTATGAGAAAGAATGTTCTTGAAATCCATCGTAAGACTAGATTAGTGATGTGGGAATTGTCGGAAATTCCAGTTTACCGACGAGTTTGCTTATGTTGTGGGAATTCCAGTTTACCCAACAGAGTGTTCTTTTTACTGTGTATGCTATGTAAAAAAAAATGTTGAACTGGGTGTTCTCTTGAACCACCATGCAGGCTAAGGTCTTTTTATAATTTGCAAACTTGTTGCTCTCTTGGATCTCCATGTTTAAACTACCAGATTGAAGCATGTTTTGGTTTCTGATGTGGGTAGCAATTCATTTTCTAACTTACAATGATAACTGCTATGATAATAGATATTGCTGTGTCTAGGATGGGGCTCAGAAGCCAGGATTCAAACCTTCAATTCACTGCAGGCTCATTCAGTTCCATTGTTAGATTAAATTATTTATTATACTTCAATAAATAATTGTTTTTTTCTTTAAATATATATGTAAATAGCAAATCAATATACATGATGAGAAAATTATTAAGAGAATTTCTAAGTATTAATCTTAGATCATAGAAAGATTGACAGACAAAAAAATCATAATCGTGACTGTAAAGCATAAAATTTGTGTAAACCCATAAAAATATACACAGAAATTAATGTTCTATACAAATATGCACATAAAAATAGTTGGCATATACTTCGGAATTTTGAAAAATTACCGGGGTATGTTTTATAATTCAACTAATTTAGCGGGGCAAGTTTGTAATTCGATTTTGACAGAAGGGCAGTTTTGTAATTTAGGAAAGAAAGTAGAAAAAGTTTAAATATGTGGGAATGTGGGGGCCTCTAGGTAAAGACCCAACCGCGAGCCCGAGTGTCCAGTATAAAATAGAGCTTTTCTCCGAACCCTAAATTTCTCTGCTGCAACAAGGAACACCAAAGCCCTAACTCCAGCCGACGGCCCTGAGCCTCCAGATCTTGTTGCTGCTTCTCCACCAAAAAACCCCCATTCAGCGATGGTCAGTCGATTATCTCCCTTCACTGGATGTCTTCGTTTTTGTTTTCTTCTATATCATGCAATGTTTCTGAACTTTCCATCTCTTTGACTAAATGGCTTTCTGTTTTCTTTTCGCTTGCAGACTTTCAAGCGCAGGAACGGTGGCCGCAACAAGCACGGCCGTGGCCACGTCAAATTCATTCGCTGCTCCAACTGCGGCAAGTGCTGCCCTAAGGTACCTTTCTTGCGAAACGATCACCTGTATTTTTATATGGGTATTAGTGATTAGCTGTATAGATCTTGATTTGTTGTTTTCTAATTCTTTCAGGACAAGGCAATCAAGAGATTTCTTGTGAGGAACATTGTGGAGCAGGCTGCTGTTAGAGATGTTCAGGAAGCCTGCGTCTATGATGGTTTGTTTCAAATTCCTTTCACTGTTGCTCTGCGCCTGTGTGTTGTTTATGCAAGAGAATGCAATGTGTATATGTGTTATGAAATTCGTGTACTGATAGTGGGATTGAAAATCTCCTGTTATGGTTTTGTTGTGGTTTAGGGTACACTTTGCCCAAGTTGTACACCAAGATGCAGTACTGCGTCTCCTGTGCTATTCACTCCCATGTCGTGAGGGTGCGATCCCGCACTAATCGCAGGATCCGTGAGCCACCACAGCGTTTCATCAGGCGCAGGGTATGTTCCTTCGTACATTTGATCATAGTTCACCTGCTTATGATATTGTGGTGTTTTGGCATGCGGTTTTTCTTGTTTATGGATGACTGCTATTTACGTTGATTTTTATTGTGGTTTAATAATTGAATTGCGTGGGTTGGTCATGAATGATTGTACTGTTATTTGCCTTTTTTGACAATGTGGTCTTTTAATATTGTGATTTCTGCGTGTATGGCCAATAAATTACTCGAACAAGCATGACATTTTGTTAAGATGGCTGGACATTGTCTAGAATGAGAAAAAGTATTGCTTCAAGATAACTTGGGGTTATTGATGAAAGCTTCTTATATTCAAGAAAACTTGTGGTTATTGGTGAAACAGCTTCTGGAGTTGATATATTCCGAGGAATGTGGTTAGAGTTGTGGAAATTCTATAAGGAACATGTTTTCTTACTTACCGTGCATTTGAGAGATGAAAAGAAAACAAGTACTGTCTGATTCATATCTTTTTCTTTCATGCATGCTTTTAATGTGCCCTTGATTTTTTAGTGGAATTATCATGGTCATTTGGAGTGCTTTTTGAAATTTGAGATGTTCTTTTCATGTTAGGCTAGAGAATTAATATACTAAGGGTAACGTATGTATATAAATTAATTTATTGATAAAAGAATTTTGAATGACAAGATTTTAGCAGTTCTTTGTCCTCATGATACTGATATGACATCAGCTGTTTGTGCTTGATTAAGTTGAACATGTAATTATTTATGTTTTCTTTTTCACTATAGGCTTAACTCTGTTAAGATTGTTTTCATTTTCTTCCATTGAAACCTTTCTAATTTGCCTTCATGTTATGCATGTATTTGTTCAGGATGATCTCCCAAAACCTGGCCAACCTGGTCAAGCACCTCGTGCAGGTGGAGCTGGCAATCCTGTTCGCACCTGAAGAGACCATTAGGAATCACCCGGATATTCAAATGCTTGCTTTAAAATGCCTTCTTGAATCTTGAGAACTTCTTTGTGTAGGAACGTTTTGATTAATTTCTTTAAGCTACTTAAATCTTTTTGAAGTTTAAAGTTGTCTTTTTGGAGTCTCCGGATTGACGGATATGCATTTACATATCACGAATTTCCTTTTTTTTTAGCTCGTCTTTTACCTTCGATCCTGTTAATCTATTAAAATATTGATAATGCTGGAAATTCTTCAATTATCCCTTAAAAAGTATCTTGATTGTGTTAGAACTTAAGAGGAGACAGACTGTTGCTTAGCAAAGATGAGATTTCTAAATCTTTTTCCTGACTGGAATTAGGGATTGTCATGTGGTTGGACTGCCCATATCTACTTCTCCTACTGGATTATATTTTTGTTTATACTTGTTTCTCTTCTAGAGTGGTTATGCAAGACTGTCTCACCGATAAGTTAATGTTGTGTTATCTGCTTTATGTCTCACCAATAAATTAACCAACTAAAATTCTTAATTAATTTATGTTAGATATAAATCTTAAGATGTAATTAAAAGTAAATATTAATTTGTGTTTCTATTTAATTTAATATAAGAATAATACATGTAAATATTTAGAAGAATCATTAATGTAATTAAAATCAATGTAACAGACATGAATTGACTGGTATTTTTATTTTGCACCTGTCTGGCTATAGATATTAATAAAATTTTATTTTGATAGTATGTTATTCATATTTATTATTAAATAGAATATATTTAAAAAATATTTTACATTATATCTTCTTTCAATTAATATTAATATTTCTTAATCAGGTTTAAATTACCTATTTAAATATTTTATAATTTTTTTAAAAAATAAAAAAAAATTAGAAAAATTCTACCCCAGTGAGTAAATAATTTCCAACTGCTTCATATTGGAACGGGTAAGTTTATATTTTCCTAGCTGCCGCACAACCATTTTTGTCGACTGCTCCTGCTTCAGTCTACTAAGATGGTTGAGGATTTTTGCAGTCTGAGATTACATACAATTCAAATTGGTATCTACGAGTTAAATCGTGTCAAACTCCAAAAACTCCCTGCAATTGCTGACCAATTAATTTGTTCCAGCTTCCCTAGCCAGTGGCACTGGAATCACCAACACCGTCTTTAGTCTTTACTTTCACCTACCCTGTAGCTGTTTAGCAATCCTGATACAAAATGGCATGGGACAGTTTGTCTTTATCGCATTGGAAGCAATGTGAGACCTACTAGCAACATATCCCTCCTGCATCAACAAAAACCTATACTCTTAGTTCTCTGCATAATGGAAGTATACCCATGTTCCTATAATTACCCTTTAGACTTCCAAACAGCTCTTACACTCAAACTTCTCTTGAGCACAAACATTAACATCTCAGACATCTTCATCAGTTTGGGGATTTTAGATTTGGGGTCAGTCAATTACAAATGTAGAATCCATGACTCTGCAACTTCTCAGCTGAATCTCTTTTAGGTTATATTTAATTAAAATGTGCTACATGGTATAAGTACAAGAACACCACAAAGAAAAGACTGAAATGTAAATACTATAATTTCAGTTCAGTTTAATTTAAGATGAATTTTTCTTCTCATTTAGCCAAATAGGAATGGAGATTTCATCTTTTCATGAACTATGTCGTTTATCCCACAAACTAGAAATTAATTCTAATCTGATTCACCTATCATACATATTACAATTAGTTTCCTATATCCAATCTATTAGTTTGTACGGCAAAATTATTTCAGGTTAATCATAAAGTAAAAAATGCCAAAGAAGTTGATGGTGAAGTACCTTATGGATGGCGTCCATCATTGTCTCCAGGGAAGGTGTATTTACCTTCGCGCGGCTTGCCATCTACAACAACTAAACCTAAACCCGTCAAAACAACTCAACAGAAAAAGTAGTTGATAAACTTCTCATTTGATTCCCACTTCTGATTTACACGTTAGTTCCAATATGCAGAATCATTGTTGCATTTGAAGTACCAACTACCACTTCATATTCTTTGATGGTGAGAACTCACATCTTGAAATGTAAGAACTGAATCCCTATCATCAAAGAATCCATAGGAGGTAGTACTGATTCAAACATAATAAGTTGTGATTTAATTATACATCTTTAAGATAATATGAAAATCTATAACAAGAAATTGACTAAAAAATTGAAAGGAACTACGAACTACATGCTTGCACACTGACCTCATCCATTTTAATGTACCCAGATGGTAATCTGGGGTCACTTTCATCTATCATTCGTTTAAGTAGTTTTTCCAGATCAGCACCTGCACCATTGCCCACCCATCCCCAGTCATATGCCAAGTCTAGCATTTCCATTATGTAGGCAGCACTATGAAGAGGTCCTAGCCACAAGGGCCCTGAGACATTGAGTGACTTAGAAGCCTGAAATAAACTGACAGGAAATAGTCATACAAGTACCAATCGTTTAACGAGCCAAGAAGAATCAAAAGAGTTATGATCCCATGCCTTTGTATCACTACATGGGCAACCAATCTGACCAAGTTCATCCCATGAAAAAGCTTGAGAATTTCCACACAGGTTGCAGTAAGTGATGAAGCCATATTCCCTGTCAAGAACCAGCAAAAGCTATGGAGATAAGAATCAAATTCAAGACAGCGAATCAACGGATACAACTACGTGTGTGTCAGTAAAAGTTAATATGTGTTTCCTATCTAGTGTTATTCACACCCATGTTGAAGGGTAAGAAAAAGAAAAGAACTATCTTCTAGGCCTTCGAATGAACCCAAACTCACGCAAAAGTATAGAACATGCTTGACGATTTATCACCTGTTTTCGTGCAGCTTCCCCCGATTCACTTGGAGCAGGACTCTGAAAACAGGGCCATGGTAAGAATAGTATGAAAAGAGCGGTGTGACATGAAAACCCAGCACAGAAGCTTCCCGCACAGCTCCACCTATAAGCATTCGCAAACCAATCTCATTTGCATATGGCATGGGCTGAATAAATGCTCCATACGCAGCTAATGAACTAGACAAACAGAGAAACATGATCACCTTTATTGGCATAAGGGAGGTTCTTTAAATTCTCAAACAAACAGCAGAATAAGCAACCAGCAACAAAAACCACTCTGGTTGCGACATTTTATCAAACAGTTTGCAGGTTCATTCCATTAAAAGAAGCTCATCTCATCCAAACGGTCAAAAAATGAAAATTATTCACAAGCCATGAAAAGAAATGTGCTTGTAAGCAAGCTAGCAACAGGCGAAACTCACTTGTAAGGGCGGTGACCACCGGAAGAGTACCCATCTGTGGAGGTAAGATAAAGCAAGCCGCCGAATTTCAACGCATTAAACGCGGACCTCAAAAAATCCGAGTCGCTCCCAAAAGAGTCAATGTCAATCAGATCAAAGAAGTCCCCTTGCAGGTAGCATTGACTCAAGAGGCGATCGGCATTGGTGTGGGTGACTACCCATCTCCTCTCATTCCCCGAATACCTCTCTACCCTCTTAAGATTGTCCAAAATAACCCTTCTGTACTCATCGTTTGCATCGTTTGCCATGACGAAATCGGCGTCTGCTTGAAGGAGATAGCGAAGAGAGCGGATACCACAGCCGCACATCGCGTCGAGAACTCGCAAGGAGCCATTTGCTTTCCTGTAGAGGGATGCGGAGAGGACCCCTAAGTCGCGGCCTGTCGCGCTTTCATGGCGGTAGAAGGTATTTCCAGTATGGAATTCAATGGCCCTTTCTGTTCGAAGACGGGGTGTCAAGAAAGCGGTGTCGGTGGTTGGGTTGTTGGGAACGGAGTGGGGGAGAAACGGGGAAGAAGATAAGGTTTGAGAGGTAAGAGTGAAATTGGACATGGACATGGACATGGTGGTGTAGGAGTTGAGTTAATATATATATATATATATGTAAAAGAGTTAATGCCCATTTCATCTTGAAAAATATATATATATATATAAAGATAACAGAAAATAAAAAATTATATTAATATTATTTGATTAGAGAGAGAACAGTTAGATACATGGAAGTGAGAAGGGTAAGCTATCTTGTCCTGAACATATAACACTGTTTATAAGTAACGGGCACGTAATACGCAAATCCCCAAGAATCATGCTCTCTCCTCAGTGAAAGAACTATATTATTGTTAGTACAGATCTTGTTTTTCAAAACATACCAGGTCAGGTGGTTTGGGTTAGATCTAATTTGGCCTTCGCGGTAAACATCGAACCACCGGAGTCCGCTCCAGCCTGTCCCCTTGAAAGAACAATAGAAGCAAGTGCTACGAAAATCCCAGGATGATACTTCGAACTCAAAATAGAAGCTTTCCCAGTAGCGTAGATGCCGGCCTCCGAGATCCAGTTCTGCTGACTTGCAGTGAACATACAGGGACGATCCTCTTCCCTTAATGTTTTTTATCTCCACACGAATCCTCTCCCCATTGCATTCCCTTCCGTTGCTCACCACCATAGCTACTACCAACACTGCATGCATTAACATTTTCATCTTCTCCTTCCCCATCATCGCTCTCTGCTTCTCAGTATTGATTACTTATGCCTCCTCTGCTCCGACTCCTCTCTTTCTTTCTATATACATATATATGGGGAGTTTAAGCTTAAGCCTAAGCCTAAACCAATCCAGTAATAATAATAAGGATTAAACGTAAATGTTAATAACACCATGCATTCAATTCAATTTATTAAAAACCGATGTTTAATTAATCCTCCTTGTTTATTTAATTACTATTAACCTTATCATTCATCACCTCACTCCTTTATATATATCTATTGCTCATGGGGCTCTCTGAACATGTATCTTCAACTGTTTACAAAAAGGGTATAATTGATCCTTTTTTTTTTTTTCTCAAAACAAAGAGAGAAAAAACAAGTCACATCTCAACGTGGATTCAGGGGACATTCGTTTTGCTTGAAAAATCATATTTTTCTTATAAGTTCTACATAAACAATGACAAAAATGTAGACAAGAGTAGAAATTTTTTAGATCTTAATAAATATATCTTGGCAACAAAAATATTAAGGACAAAATAAACTATATTAACTTACAAACTAATTTCACTTATTCTAGTGAAACTAACCACCTCCTCAAACTGTCAAAAAAAAAAAGTGCACCATATCAAGCCAGCTTCTTAACGTGATGCACTATTAGCACCTTCAGAATCACATATATAATTCTTATATATGGTAGCTATGTACCTAACACACGAATAAGGGATAAAACTCCCTCACCCCTAGTTTCATATCAACAAGAGACCAAAATACTGGGTTCAGTCCGTTGGTTTCTCCCACCGAAAATAGTTTATAGAAAAAGGAAATCAAGACAACAAAGGATTTATTATGAAGCATACCAACAAAATCTTCTCAGAACAGCCAAAATAAAATTCCATCATCCTTCATCTAGTCTCCATAAAACAGCAAATTGTTTGCATAAACTAGAGAAATACCAGTATCATAAATACCCACATCATCAGTATAATCCCTGCAAACTAAGCTACTGCTAGCAGTCATTTACTTTAAACAAAATAGATATAACATGTTGATGGTCTTGAGTTCCATAATTTGTAGAACATAAGCAGCCTCTCATTAACAACTATAGCCACTTCCAATAGTTCACAGTCCCAAAAGCCATGGTGTCCGCTCCGTTTCCACAATAGGTTGCTTTTGATGATCATCTATGGGCACTCTCACACCTGATTCTCCCACGCTGGGCATGCTAATTCTTGCATTCTCATGCACACTCAACATCTTCCTACTTTGCGCATCAATAAAAGCATTTGAAGCCCATCCTTGTCGTTGACTGTTATCCGCGCGCTCTCTCATGCTCAATTTCCCTTCACTTGGAGCAAGAAATTGATACACATTTGGTGGCTTCATACCTTGATCATCCATAGGTGGATTCCAGCCTGGTTGCTGTTGGCTGTCCTGAAGGAAGCTTATTCCTATCATCTTTGGATCTACTGATTGATATCCTTCATAAGCATACTTGGTTGCTCCTGCTCCCTTTGAAGCTTGTCCAATAGGAGACATTACTGTGCGATCAGGCTGTTGGTTATCCGGAAGGCCTCCTACCCCTTCCATCTCTGAGTCAGCAGATTGGTATCCTCCATAAGCGTACTTAGTCGCTCCTGCTCCTTTTGAAGTTTTCCCAACAGGAAGAGAGGTTACTGTCCACCTTGGCTGCTGTTGGTTGTCCAAAAGGGCTCTTATCTCCATCATCTCCGGATCAGTAGATTGGTATCCATCACAAGCATACTTTGTAGCTCCTGCTCCTGTTGAAGTCTGTCCAATAAGAGGAGATGTTACTACCCGACCTGGCTGCTGGTAGTTATTTGGAAGGCCTCTTATACCCACCATCTCTGAGTTAGGAGATCGGTATCCCTCATAAGCATACTTAGTTGCTCCTGCTCCCTTTGAAGTTTGTCCAATAGAAGAGGTTACTGTCCAGCCTGGCTGCTGTTGGTTATCAGGAAGTCCTCTTATCCCCACCATCTCTGGGTCAGCAGATTGGTATCCATCATAGGCATAGTTAGTTACTTCGACTCTCTTCGTAGTTTGTCCAATTGGAGGGGAGTTTACTGTCCAGACTGGCTGCTGCTTGTTATCTCGAAGGCCTGTTATCCCCAACATCAGGTCTGCAGATTGGTATCCCTCATAAGCATTCTTACACGGTCCTGTTTCCTTTGGAATATGCCCAACAGGAGAAGAGGTTACCGCCCACCCTTTCTGCTGCGAGGATCTAGCTTGACCAAGTAAATTTGATTCGGTTTCTCCTGCTTGCTGCTGGGACCACCTGTCAACATTGGATTGCACTCCCCATTCCATTGGTTTAGTCAAATCCAGAAGTAGGCTTCCCTCCACGGATTTGCCTCTGTAGCTTGAGCCTTCCGCAGCAAACCCAACTTGATTTTGGCGCACTCTAGCTCCCCCACCAAGGTTTTGCAAATTCATCTTATTGGGGTAGCCATTTGCTACACTGTAACGAGGCACACTCATGGCTGGGGGATCAAGATGGCTAACTGCTTCACTGCAACTTGACCCTGTTATAGCTGGGGCATCAAGATACCCAACTGATTGATTAGAACTTGATCTTGTCATAGCTGAGGTGCTGAAGTAGCCAAGTGATTTGCTGCAACTGGACTCTTTCATAGTTGTGGTGTTGGGGTTGCCAATTGCTTGATTGTGACTTGATCCCATCACAACTTGGGCATCAAGGTAGCCAAGACTGGAACTTGACCCTGTCATTGCTTGGGAAGGCCAAGACCACGAAGACGAAGAACCAGCATTGTTTGTTTTGGGTCCTAAATCTTGCATAGTAGCCTCTGATGGAGCCATATCAATCATCAGCATGGGGCTGTCCACAAGCATAGCATCTTGCATCATTTTTGAGAAACTAACATTTTCAGGATGGTTCAAGTTATCTGAAATTGGAAAATTGAATTTTCCCCCTCCAGATTCATGCATTAGAAAGGCGGAACCCAATTGAATTCCAGCGTTCAGATCAATCATATGGTCTTTAGAAGCAATACCAAGATCTGTCCCCTGACTGTTCGCTTGGATCTTTTTCCCTTGGAAATTACCAAGAGTTCGCATTTTGCCAAAAGTCTGGTCAATATTTCTGCTTATAGCATCATTTACATTCACAGGGTTAACTGCGGAAGCTTTTTCTAACAAAATGCTGTTCTGCGTGCCTATTTTCTCCCCTGTTAACATCTGCCACACAACAGAGTTCCCAGGAAGTTTCAAAGACGGAGCTTGCACTCTGATACTTTTTTGTATAGATCCCACAGTAGGAGCTTGTACTTCCAGTCCTATAGGCTGACAATTCAGGTTTGCATCTTGAAACTTTAAGGATGCAGCAATACAACTTTCTGCCTTCCGCCTGGCAATCTTTGTAGCTGTTGGGCCCAAATCTTTAGCAAAATGCATTAAACTTTTTACATATCCGATACCTGTCTCCTCATTCTGCAAATTCAGAAGAGATGATTAGTGCACAAATAAGTAATGCATAAAATTGCAAGATAAAGTTGCGCAGAGGACTGAGTCCTGCATTTGCAGTTTTAGGATGGTGTTCTTTCCACCACCACATACTTAAACATAGATGCCAAACTCATGAGATGGTATCAGTTACATGGTTAAAGTATGCCTTTTTTAGAGCACATGCTACTCACCAGCACCAGTTCATTTGAACTGTCATGAACTGTGGTTAACAATGTCTTACTCTCAGTGAGAAAGGAAGTCCATGGTCTATAGGTTCCCCGTCGGTCCGCTTCAGAACAATTAAGTATTTCATCTCTACAGCCTGTTCCCAAAGATGGATAAAATAAAATAGAGCATTTCAATTAAATGACATATGATGCATTCTGTATATACAAGTCAAGATCTGCTTATATAGTTAATTTTTAGAGTGTGATTATGAAGCTTGACCAACAATTTGGTTTAGTTTTACCATTATTTGTGTCGTTGCAAGAGTTTAAATTCAGAATCCCAGCTTCAGCATTAACTCTCCTAGAAGTTGCTTTCCTTTTCATGGAGGAATTAACTTTGAAGTTCTCAGGGTCACTTCTCAAATCATGGAATAGCTTATTTGCTAGTTCTTTAATAGCACGGGCCTGGAAAGCCACAATTAAGAATTTAATCAATGATGATTAAAGATAAGAAAACAAAATTCTACCAAGCAAGGAGTCAATCAGTTCAAGAGGCCACTCCACAAAAATTTTATGACTAACCTGTCGGTAGTAGATGGTATTTGAAGCATTGAAAAGCATCGCGTTGTTGTATATTAAGCACACATCATACTGTATAGCACAATAAATAACCAAACGTTATCGTACACATGATATGTATACCACATATTCACTATGAGCTACTGAACATTAAGTGAGGTCCAGATTTCAGGACAAACAAAGGGAGAGTAGTTTGGTCCATTCTTTTGTAACCTAAGAATCTACATGCATATCAATTCCGTTAAGAATAGCAATATAGACTTTTTATAACTTCAAAAAGCAAAACATAAAATATAATTTGGATGAGTGCCTTTTTTGTGCCATGGTATTGGTGGTCAAAGTAGTCAATTACATGGTCAATCAGAGGCCAAAGGTCTCAACTAAAAATTTATATGAAGTAGAATGTTTGTTGAAGAAACAAGTTGCAAACAACCATCCCCCACCAGCCAAGAAAATGGAATGAATTTTTAAAAAGTAGTTACTAGAAAGCACTAAAATAATTGTGTATGAGGAAGGAAAAAGGGGATTTATTGCGCCCCTTAACCCAATACCAACCCACAGAAGATGCTTCAAGTGTCTTATAACAACAAACAGATATAAGATAATTTATTTGCAATCCTACATTATAGTACCTTTCTCTCTAGA